ATAATTTTTTAGAATTCAACTAATCATAGTATCAAATTGCACCCAACACGTTGTATCTTTTGGACAGTTTGTATTTAATGAAAACAATCAAATTTTATTGAGAGCAAAAGTTTACAAATGAAAAACACATCATCTTATACAAATTTCTATCTAATATCTCTATTGTCACTTTTTTAGTAACAAAATTCATTTAATGGAAAGATAAAAAAATAATAAAAAAGATATGCTTAAGATGTTTAAAAACAACCAACTTAGAAATCTTGATCTTGTTGAAATATTTATTTCAATTAGTTTTTAAATCTACCGATTTTTAATTACAACCTATATAATCATAAACAACTCAAATAAGGTCTTAAATAAGCCTTAAGATACCCTCAAAATACTCTATGAATTCAAGAAAAATTCTAGATATATTTTATTAAATAATAATCAAGCTCTAAAAAATTCCTAAGAAAATATTAAATAATATTAAATAATACTTATTAAATCTAAAATTAAATCTATTAAATCCTGATAAAATACTAAATAAATCTTAATTAAATTCTAATAAATTTTCACCAAATCCAAAAATAATTCTAACTAATCTAAACCATATTCTAAAAAGATTACAATAAAAATAAATCAAATCTTAAAGAAATTATAAACAATCATAATCAAATCTTAACCAAATCCTAACCATATTCTAAAAAAATCTTAATCAATTTAAAATAAATCCATCAATAATTGAAAATCCATGTGTATTTTTTAATTAATTATTGATTTTATTTTAAATATTACATATCTTTGAATCTCTTAATTAAAAAAAAGCTCAAAAATATTAAAAAAAATCATATATATAGATTGAGAGAAAACACAAATAAATTATTCAATTGTTAGATTGTTTTTTTTTCTAATTGTATATTAAATTCTTTACACTAAGATAATCTACTTGTATTATTAATTTGATTTGATTTGATTTGATTTTTTTATATAGATTGGAATTTACTTCAACTACTTGTTTATAAATGTATATCTCAATTTGATTGAAAAATTCCTACAAATCTTTGAAATTCTTACTAACCCTCCAATTATCAACTACCAATATTCTAAACTACTTGAATTCTAATAACTTTGAATCCAACTAAGTAACTAAGTTCAAGTTTATATCATAGACTTAAGACAAATATATATACAAATCCAAAAATTTCACCTATAGATCTATAATAAAATTTACAAAGTATCCAAAATAAAAAGTCTACTTTAATCTTAAAAAACAAAGACAACCAAATCAAACCAAAATCTAACTCAACATAGCTCTTGCATAATCTATACAAATTTAATTTGTTCATAACCAATGCACCTAAAATTCTTTTAAATTAAATAAAATCTCTTTTAATAGAAAAAATAATAAATACATTTTTTTAATATTTTTATTTCTTCGTAACTTTTACTTATAATTTCTAAAATAATTTTCTATTAAACCTTCAATTAGGCCATTCTCAAATAAAGATCTTCATTTATCCTTTTTGTTCTAGTAGCCATGTTAAAATACATCATTAGATTCTTGATTATAACCAATTATTTAGAGTTAAAATCATCCAACTTGAACAACTTCAAGGTGTTTATTTTTGAGATTGACTCAAAATCACTATCTTTAATGTTGTCTTCAAAGAAATAGAAAAAGTTTGTAAATACACTATTGATAATTAGAGCATTAATGATGAAGTATAACTTTCTAATGTCCACGCTTAAAAATGCATCTATTGACATCTTCTACTTTCCTTTAAAGAATGTCTTTTAGTAAGCAGTTAACAATCCTTGATTTTCTAATCAAATTGCAATGCGCTACTCCATGTGATACTTGTAATGCAATTTAGCTTTGAATGGTAGCAATTATATTATCTTGTTTTTTATTTGATAATCTTTAAATATCACCTTGTTCATCTTGTCCACATTATCTTTCTTAAAACAGATACAAAACACATATGGACCATGTCAACTTCACCGTTTACATCATGGTCTTAAATTTCCAAAGTTTATTTGCAAAGTTACTTTATATTATGTCTAAGACTTTGTAATGCTCTTCCTTGACAATAAAACACCTACTCAACACATTGGATACATGATATCCATTGCCTAGCACTCTCTAAGGTGTTTTTGATTGTGATGAAGTAGTAAAATTGTTTGTGGATAAAGTGGCATCTAAAAATAGAATTCCACCTCTTAGAAGGCTTGTATTAGAAAGAACCTATTCTGTGGTACTTTAGTTGCTTCATTTTCATGGCTTTTTGCAACTTGAACCTCGTTTATAAACAAAGAATGAAATCTAAATGCTGTAATATGATAGGCAACCTATCCATGGGCACCCCAAAAACCCACCTACTTTAGGTCAACGTTGCTTTGAATGCTCTTGTAAGATTGGTGGAACTGAGATTTGCAAAAGGAGCTTGAGAAATCAATCAGTCCAATTTTCAGTTACGATGAGCCTTCTTTCCGGCTCTGCTTGTCAATGTCCGCTGCAACATTAATTCCAAGTGAACCCTCCGATTCACCTCTAATTTCATTTCTATTTCTTATTCAGAAGCTTGACGTGAACTGTTAGCATTCAAGGCTATGGCAAGGGTGTGTCAAAATGGCTTTGAACACATAATCTGTATTGCTTCAATTGCAGAACTTGCTCAATATTTAAAGAGCCAGGCTGTTTATGATGACAGGTCTGTAAATTGCAGGACCTTTTTTCATGTCGGTTTCCACATTCGTGGGTCTAGTAGTTAGCTCTGTAACGGTTCAGATTTCCGGTCAAGTTGCTTCGGATTCCACATCACTCCTGTATCGCATTGGTGGTTCTTTCTGATAAGCTTTGCCACTCTGACCACCAATATTGTAGCCAATAGTTTTGTGAGCTTGAACTCCTCCAACTTCGACTTTTAAACAGGTGGCTTCGTCACCGCTCTGATTAGTATCTTGCTTTGATCGTGGCGGCTCATGTAGTCAAGTCAGAAAATTATCTACACGTGAGTGTTCGAAAAGTTGACATTTCTAAAACCCCTGTGATGGATCATGCTGGTCGGTTGCCTTGGATCGCAAGAAAGGGCTCTTGACACCAATGACCCCTTCTGTCGGGACCAAGGGTGTCGATGCTTATTCACAAATGGTTACAACCTTGCAAATACAGTTGGGAACTGTTTCGGGGACCAATAAACATGCCCTATGTTGTTTGCTTGGAAGAGCACAAAGCGGGCGGTCAATTCTGACTCTGGATGAAGGCACTGACCATTAGGGCATCACCGACCTCATCTTTTGTCATGATATTCAAGTTTCGTACATATACAGATAGCTACTGCTTGATATTCAGCTGTTTGCATGCGGATGAATCAAGGAATTGTACTTGGCCAGACCGAATTACCGTTCGGCACAGATATCATTTGGAACTTTGTCACTCTGGTTTCGACGTTTTGTTTAAAACTCATTGGACGGCCAACACGGCTATCATGTACGAACTCTCTACTCGCATGAAAAAATCTAGAATTAGAATTGCTCGAGTGAATTCCAAAGAAATGTTTGCTTCAGGTTCCGAGCGCTTGGCTGTAATTTCTTGCCAAGCAATGACGTTCGCTATGTGAGGTTGTCCATGAATGATACCGACTATGTACACTCGTTCATATTTCGCTCGCACAGAATGACTGCTTGATCTACCGAAGACATGACATCAAAAGGAGTGGACAGTTTCGCCACGCCTACCTCCAAGTGTTGCAGAGTTGTTATGCCATGCATAACTCGCATAGCACACAACGATTGGATTGCAAGGTTGCTGGACGGACAGCGGCATAGCGTGTTGCGCTACCAAATCTCGCAACCGACTAGAGGCTGACAGCTTCCCACCAAGCTCACATCTTACTTACACCTGCAGCGACGTTGGATGATATAGTGACGGCCCAGCTATGATGTGCCGCACAGTGTGGCAACCGATCGTGTCACCTCCACCGGCGTGCTTTACAAAGCAACGCTGATGCTACGGCAGATTCTACAACCTACTGCATCTGTGTACATCCACTACTTTGGAATCTTCTCCAGTAAACCTAGTGTAAAATCAATATTACACATTTCGATGCTTGCGGCATCGCTTAACACTACCGTATGCCCCCTCATTCTCTTTCCGCATGTTGCCATGAGCTTTTCCAAAAGATGTTGGCGATTTCCTTACAGAAGTTCAACTCTCGCTCATTAAATGTGTCATAATCTTCATTCCCAATAGTTTACACATGTTTTCGAGGCACCAATGTGGAAAGGTTAAATGACCATAATCTAGTCAAGCACTAAATGGGTAACTGAGCTTCACTTCTAAGAACACCTCGTCAAAGTGGTTGGCAGTCTACAGAGGGTTGCCATTTTTGAATATGGGCGTCACTGAAACTGGCCGTTAATCACGTAAGATTCACATCTTGTGAAATGCTGAATAACCGTTAAGTGAGGTCTTGTGAAGTTGGAAAAAGGAAGGTCAGCAGCATGAATCGATGAGTTGCAATCTGAGTTAATGGACACTACAACCAACCATCGAAATCCACGGAAGTAACGAAAGAAGAACGAGTGCAACGAATGAATGCTGCGGAGGAAAGGTGCCGCAGTGCGAGAGTAATAGGTGGATCTGAAAGTTAGTCTCTCCTCGTGGACCCTGCTGCTAATGGCCGGGAGAGGATCCAAACTTGAGGCTCCAGGGTAGCGGTAGCAATTGCAAAAGGTAAATCGCACATTTGTCTCCTAAAGGAACAGAAATTCGAGGAGGGGCAGGCATAATAATCTTAACACATCAATTGAATCTGCAATGACGAGGCCAGCGCGACCCCACGTTTGCAAACTCACGTGGCCGGACGGAGTGCTCTCGCTTCGCTTTTCCAGTTTGTGGCCATGTGTCCTTCTCCCAAACCGTGCGTGGAACTACGTTCCTTTGCGGCCTACTTGCGAACATCGGCTCAATGGACGGCGCAGAGAACTGTGCAAAGAGAGGCTGCTCTAACTCTTCCCAGATTGCGACCAGATAAGCCTCCGCAGCTGCAGCAATCCCATCTGACAAGCAGGCGGACAACTTCCTCCGGAAATTCACCGAATCGGCTATCTTCCCGGATTCTGCTTCTATCCGGAGTGCGGATTAGTAGTAGGATTTTTGTAGTTACTACTTGACGAGCAATTTTTCCAGCTGGGTTTTTGAGCAATGGAGCGGAGTCTGCACACGAGAGTGGATTAGTTGTGTGCACAGAAGATCTTGATTGTGGATTGATTCACGGTAGCTGAAGCAGAAAGTTTTTTTTTTTTTTTTTTTTTTTTTTTTTTGTGTTTTTGTATAGAGCGTGTTGTGATCCAATTTTTCGAGTTTTCTTGAAGTTAGAAGTTGTAATTGATTGTGTAAGACTATTAAGGTTTGCGTTAAGCTTTTGATAGATCGGGACTGATTTGGATTGCGAGACGCGGGTAGAAAGAAGTGCGGAGAATGGCAGTATGTGCATGCAGTACGGGATTGTTGCAGCTTCTCCCGAAAGCCCCCGCTGTCAGCAACTCATTGTCGTCTCAGGTACAGCAATTTTGGCCCAGCACGGACTGCTACATACCTCAGATTGCTGCTTTAAAACCACACCACGGCTTGCTCTAATATTGAGTTAAACCTAAATTTTGAATAATCATCCTGTAGCCATGTACTTGTCAAGGTTAAAACGAAGAATGGCATCACTGCGGACCTGAAGATCTCATTACAGCACAACCAAGTCTTGAATATGCAGCAAAAGGCAATTTTCTGAATGCTGTATTTTTGCATTCTGTTGTCTCAGTTGAGAACTGAGAAAACTATACAGGTTTCGTGCGCTGCAGCTTCGTCATCATTGTCTGATTGTACATGCAATTTGGGATATGTCGGCAACAAGGCCATGTTGGTTCCCTCCTCGTCGTTAGAGAGGTCTCAAAATTTTAGTAGCGGCTTTAGACATGGGAGGAGTAACAGGGGCAGTCTCGAGCTTCGGAAAAGGCATGGAGAGTGCGGCCGGTCGGAGCCGAAGCAGACCCCGACGCATGTGCAGGCGCGGGTGCAGGACTCTGTAGAGCATGAAACGTATGATAGTGGGAATGAGTTGGATGGGAGCCTTCGTTGCAAGGATCGAGGTCGGAGAGAAAGAACCGGGACTGACAGGAGGAGGGTTCAGGTAATCACGAACAATGGTTTCGTGGATTTAGAAGAGCAGTTGGGTATCACGAAGGGGCGCAAAGGGGAAGGCAAACTCAAGTTGCGGCTGAGCAGTCAACAGAGCGGGAATAAAGTGCAGAGAGACGAGGAGGGAAGACTGTACTTCGAGTACGAATTTAACGAAGCAGACGGTGAGGAAGCTCCCGAAATCGACAAGAACTCCTTCTATTCTGCTGAAGAATTGCAGACGAGGCAAGGGGGCGATGCACCCAGCCTTGCACAAGCTGCGATACCTTTGGAGATAAGTGCGTTCTTGGCCTTCGAAAGAGGTAACTTATTCTGATCAACTCCACTGATGTTCGTGATTTACATCGTTGTGAAGAACATTCTGACCATCTGACTAGGAATATGTTGGCTTGGTGTTTAGGAGCTGGTCGTAGTACGAGCGATGGTCTCTCTCAAGGTTCTGTGGAACTTGACGCGGAAAAGCAATGGTATGTTCGTAAACGGGACGGTGATGCATACGTTGAAGCAGAATCGAAGTCTTCGAAGCTTCTGTTCAATACCCCTGGGAGTCAGCGAGTGGCGGAGCTCATGGGCGCGTGGAACGGTTTAGCTGGGAGGTTACCTCCCGAATTTGCGACCAGCAACGGTTCTACGCTTCTGTTAGCCGCACTGAAGCTGACCGTAAGCTCTCTTCGCCATGGGTCATCCACTGAAGACGGCCGCGAAGTTCTTAATCGTGCTCTATCGGTCGCCTTTATCCTTGCTGATCTTCGGGTGAGCCCACCTCCCGAATCCATGGACTTGTGTGTCTTGCAGTTGTATTTCACTTGTTCGTAGAATCGATCCCTTTGAAAGATTATAACCTGCAGTACCGTTTCATGTGGTACATTAGATGGACGCAGAGGTGATTGCAGCAGGTCTCCTCCGGGAGGTTTTCGAAGCAGGGTACCTTGACACTGCAAGAGTGGAGACTGTTCTGTGTAACGAAGTAGCCATTCTTCTGAAAGATTGTGGTCGAGTCAAGCATATGCCTTCTCTCTTGGACACTCTCGATGAAGCCTCAGTTCAAGCCACTCGCCAATTCTGCCTTGCGTTTCATGATGTGCGTGCTGTGGTGGTGGAAGTCGCAGCCCGATTAGTCATCATGCGCCACAGTCAATCTCTTCCACGATATAAGCAACAGATGCTTGCTCTGGAAACTATGCAAATTTATGCGCCTGTCGCGCATGCTATGGGCATTGGCAAACTCAGTCACGAATTGGAAGACCTTGGCTTCAGGGTTCTCTTTCCAGACTCCTATACGTATATCGGAGGCTGGCTTGAGCAATACTTCGCTGATGGTCATGAGGTCGTCCAACAGTGCAAAGAAGACTTGCAGAGCGCCTTGGAAGAGGACTCTGAAATGCAATCCCTGGTAGAAGGAATCGAAATATCGGGTAGATGCAAGAGTAAATACAGTACCATGAAGAAGCTACTCAGAGATGGTAGACCACCAGAAGAGGTTTTTGATGTTTTAGGCCTCAGGGTGGTCCTGACCCCTAGAAAATCGGGGACCAGCCCAGTGAAGGAGCGTGGTGCAAGGGCTTGCTACAGAGCTTTGGAAATTGCGACCACTTTGTGGAAGGAGGTTCCTGGAAGGTTGAAGGATTATATCACGGAGCCGAAGAAGAATGGTTATGAGAGTCTGCATTCAGCTGTGTCTCTGAGTACTCGTGGGAATTGGTCACCTCTAATGGAAATACAGATTCGCACTGCAGAGATGGATGAGATGGCAGAGGGTGGGCTTGCTTCTCATTCGCTATACAAAGGTGGACTAACGGATCCTGACCAGGTGAATAGCTTCCTGCATGACTTTAGCCGCTGCTATGTTTCTAGCGTGAAGGCTGTACCCCGTTCAAATGCACTTCGTAAACAGGTCTTAGTGATATTTTTAACAGTCAGGAGGTGATGCTTGGCAAGTGGGTGACAGAATTTGAATTAATCAATGCAGTATTCTTTTCCAGTATTAACATGTGATCCATGTTGGCGAGTTGCATCTATGCAGGCAGGTATTCTCAAGGCTATAATGCAAGCAGCAGCTGATGTGGCATCAACCAGATTTCCAGATTTAACAAATGAGTTGGTTGAAGTGGCTGGGGAGGAAGATGCACAGAAGAAACTTGACGACCAAATGTTTACCCTGTTTGATAGAAATACTGATGGGGTAATCAGTATGGACGAGTTCAAGGATGTTATTAGCGAGCTCGGAGGTGATGAGGAAGATGCTAATGAGCTGATGAATCTTGTGGACTCCAACTTTAATGGGTCTGTTAACGCAGAGGAATTCAAGAACTTTCGTCGGCAGGTGACCCCTTATGTTGTACCTGAGTCGTCCGGTATTTGAGTACTTTCAGTAGGACATAGATGTAATTTTGAGTAGAGATCAACTGATATTTATATACATCAGTTTCTCGAATCTGACTACTTAAATATGGCTGCAGGTCAAGTTATTTGATAATCTTGCTGGAGTAGATAGGCAATTTACCACACAGCTTGACCAGAGGCTTTTGACAACTGCTGCAAATCCAACCGCAAATGGCATTGATAGTCAAGTTGATCAAATGATACCCCCTGAAGCAAATGCTACAGAAATGACGGTTAAGTCTAACAGAATTGCAAGCCCCTCTCCAAGTGTACAGGAGCCGGACAATTCTTCTAAAGAGCTAGAACGGCAGATGTGGATAGACAGGGTTAATGACTCCGTGAAAGGCTCAACAAGTAGCAGCAATGGCTGTAGCAACGGCAACAGGAGTAGCGTCCCAAGTCTGGCCAAGCCAACGAAACCTGCTAAACCTGTTAAACCTGCTTCTGTATTAGCAGATAAGAAAAACTTCTCTGTTGGCAGTAGTTTATCGGACTTAATTACCCCTCAAACAGATGGATGGCAATCTTCAACTTTTGGTGAGAATGAGAAAGAGGACGCGATGGAGTTGCATTCCGAAGTGACAGATGTTGAGTCGGACATTGATAGGGTGTTAACTACTGCACGACAGCAACTTGCAGCAGGTGATGTTGTAGGTGCACAAGGAATCCTGCTTAAGGTTAGATCTCATGGCCTTCTAATTGATGGATTCTTAATATTATTATTGTTATTATCATTCCTATTATTGGGTCGTTGTCGTTATTAACATAATCGTGATTGTTCTGGCAGCTAGCGATGAAGCATCCAGATAGTGCAGATGTGATGTTTCATTTGGCTCAACTTGAACGGAAAAGAGGTAACAACTCTAGCCTTGAATTATGTGAAATCTTGCGATGTCTTTTTTAGTGTGGCTCACCAAGAATCTAATGTTGTTGATATGCCGGTTGGGTCAAAATACTGAAAAAGAAGGCTTGGTGGGTGGCAGGGGATATGGTTGCAGCTGGAGCGTATTACGAGAGAACCATCGGAGCATTTCAGAAACAAGAAGATTATGGTCTGAAATATGTTAAAGCATTGCAAGGATGGGGATCTTTAGAAGCGCAGGCTCGTAATGCCAGCAGAGCTAGATATCTATATCTAGAGTCTGTTAGAGTTGCTCACAGAGGAGAGAAGAATGGAGTTCTAGAAATGAAAGGAGCGGGTGTCTATGGATTACATGGGTGGGCTATGCTAGAACAAAAGCTAGGTAATTGGAGCAAAGCTAGGGAATTACTGGAAAGAGCTGCAAGCATACAACCTGGAAATTCAGTAGTTCACCAGACTAGAGCTCTTTTAGAAGCACGAGTACACAATTATGCTGCTGCTCGTTATCACTTTAGACTTGCTGTGGAGGCAGCCCCAGAAGATGTGAAATGCTGGCAGGTGAGCACCAATCTAATACCCATTGTGACTGAAAGTGGAACTCTAAATCTCATCGACTTTGATGACTCTCGAAGTCTCCTTTAGTAGTCTAGTCACCTTGAATAATGTGATTATGAATCAAGAGCTCTGTTTGTTCAAGAATGTCATCATCAATCTGAATCCCGTTGTGCTCTTGATTAAAACTTCTCATTCGCACATTTGTGTAGTTTGGTGGGTTAGGGCCGGACTGAGAACGTACGAACCTCTAAATCAGGGTTAACTTAGTTTGTCTCAACATCATGTGTCCCGATCATGTGGGTACTGTGTGTAATTATCATCAGCTTGGTCTTTGGTTAACAGGCATGGGCGTTATTTGAGTCTAATCAAGGCAAGCGAAGAAAAATGAGGCAACTTTTTCAGAAAGCGCTTGACGTGGAACCTGAAAATGTTCACGCATTACAGGTCTGCTCATTTTAGTTTCTGACAATTTGAAATTCACCTAACCAATGCAGTCGTTTATGAAGAACACTCTCTTGTGTTAGACGTAAATTATCACAACACTTTCTTTCACAATACCCAACTGTAACGTACTCATGCACCTGAAACGCCAGGCTTGGGCGCATCAAGAATCTTTGATAAATTCAGATTCAGCGAGGGAACGTGCTCGTAAATTGTATCAACGATGTGTGGAAGTGAACCCGAACAGCATGCATTCTTGGCAGGTACTGTTTCATTTTTTCTGCCTCACATAAATTGATGTAAATGATGCAGTAAGAGGTATGGCTAGAGTAATCGTTGTTTGCATTTTTGACAGAATTTCCGTCACATCGAGTGACATTCTGTAACTTAAGATGCTTTTTGATAGGTGTCTTGATCTTGAGCGCAGGCATGGGCTTTACTGGAACAAAATGCTGGAAATTTGACAGGCGCTCGAATCCTCTTTGAAAGAGGTCTTGGAACTAATCCTCGGAATGTTCCTTGTCTTCAGGTAACTGTCGCTGAATCTAAGCCTGTGGTTACATTATCTATCAGGTTGCAAAGTTGAGGTGTGAGATAGTCAAGTTCTTTGATCATTTGATATCCGTTTTATGATGGTTTGGTGGTCTTATGGACAGGCCTACGCACACATGGAACGTGTCAATGGAAACTTGATTGCTGCCCAGAAACTGCTGATGACTGCATTATCACTGGAGCCTGAGAATGCTGCTGTTTTGATGGTGAGAACCTTTCTTTTCGAAGTAGTTCCAACAATGATCTAATAATCTGCCATGTTTTGTGTCGAGTCTCTGCGACTATCAGTCTGAACTAAGGTCAAATTTGGCACTGTTAGGTTGAACCTGTCAACATGTAGTTATTATGAACACGACCTCATACTTCATTGATGCTTTTTTTTTGTACAGGAAATTGCTCTAACAGAAGAAGCTATAGGTAACAAGGAAGTGGCTTCAGAGTATTTCCGAAAGGCTGGCATTGTAGACAAGCAAAAAAGCCGGTTGAAGCGTCGCATGTTTGAGTCACGTAAAGCAGCAACCAAGCAGAAGGCAACAAAACCGAATGCAAAAAGGGGATAAAACTCTTTGAAATCCAGCGCACCTGTAAATTACGAGTAAGCACGTGTCATAGCAGAGTAGAGCATTGAAGCTTTCCATAATGCTTACTTCCAAGTGTGCAATTTCTCTACTAGTCACGTTCTTTTGCTTGTACATTTGTGAACCAATGTGTACTTTATTCACTTCAGAATTCCCCAAGATATTAGATTACTGCCCTTGGTTGAACAGATTTGTGTTCCCCCAAAAGTATTTAATACAAACACTAGCAACTTCTATAATCCGTAGGAAATTTGTCAATGGATACTGGCATTTCTAAGAAATGGCATTGTCTCTATTCTATTTGAGAAAACATGTACAATTATTTTCCAAGTAATGCAATGGGTTCCAAAAGAATGCAATGGGTTTTGAGAAGAATGCAGTGGCTTGGAATCTACAAATCTGTAACAGTAATGCATACTAGCTAAATAAGTGTACATTATAGTCATTAAAAATAAGCACTACTTGGACAAAAGTAACACTGTACCACAAGTAATAGCTTGTATTACATTTAATACATGTTGTCCAATAATATCACATTCTTAAATTGTAAACACCACTCAAATTTGAAATATTCTAAGACTAATATCACTAAAACAAAGTCTTGTAGGCTTTATAGAACCAAAATGAATATTAACATTAAAATCCAGAAGCCTAATGCACAATCAAAAGAATACAAATATTTCTTTTTTATCATTTTTTAAAAATAAAAGTATATTTGATTTTATCATTTTCTAGATAACCTAAAAATTGGTAATGCCATTTGCTTATGGTCAAAGCAAAAGCTATAAGCAAAAAAGGTACCATGAATACAATACAATAATACTCTAAATACTTCTATTACTTAGATGACTTCTTTGTTATTGGTCACCTCATTATTACATTACAAAGAATCTTAATTACTTTGTATACTACTAAAGGGATTATATTAATCCAAGTTGGAAATCTCTACATTTATTTATTTATTTATTTATTTTTGTTAACAATAGATGAAGTAAATGTCTTTATTATTCTCTCATAATTGAAATAGTTTGGCTTAGCAACCAGAAGTAAAGAATTTAGAGTTGAAAAAAAATGAACAATCATTACTACATGTACAAGTAAGAAAACTATTTCAAAATTTTGTACTTTGATAAGAGACTAACCCATGTCTTATCTTTTTTTTTTTTTTTTTTTTTTTTTTACTAAATTACTTTACCAATGTAGTAAAGATACTTCTTTAAGCCTTAAAATTAGAAGTTTTATTAATAGATAATAGGAAAAATCTTGCTTCATAATACTTAAGCAATACACAAAACACATAGTAGCTATCTCTAATACTAAATATTTTCTTGATGTTAAGCCAACACAAATGTTCAAAATACATAATTAATAGTGATATAAGAATATTTCTTGAGAAAATAAGATATGTTAAATTGGTTTACTTTTGTCTCATCTAATTATAATCAATAGACACCGACCTTATTTAAATGATTTCTTCCAATAATTATTAAGTCATTGTAGAAAAACAAGATGGTATTTTGCAATTAAGACATTGTTAATACTTCCAAATGATTTTATGAAACTTTATTGTTAACTTATATTGAATACAAGAAAATAGAATAGAACCTAAATCTTTTAACAACCAAACTGAAAGTAAATACTAGTCCTACACAAGAAAAATATGGCTGCTGAAGTATTAGAGTACATGATCTAAGTTGGATTTATTAATTATTAATGTTCAATCTTATGTTATGTAAAAAATAAGTTAATACTACTAAAAAAAAATGTAGTGTTGGTTTATATATATAAAGCTTTAGTAAACAAATAAATAATATTTTCATTAGACTATATACATATATATATATATATATATATATAGATATATAACATAAACAAAAGACAAGGCAAAGACACTAGATATCCAATCTAAGATTTTTACATTTGTAAAATTATAGAAAAATATATTATAAGATAGTACTTTTATGAGTATATAGAAGTGACATCAACAATATTGTCATTGTCCACTTTAATGGATGAAACATAGTAATATCGATTATACTAATTTTATCAACAAATGAATTAAGATTTTTATTAAAAATAAATATACCACTAATTAAAAAATAATATTTTTAAATTTTTACTACATTTATTTTAGTTTTAAATTTTTAAAAAATATATAAATATTTATCATTATTAATAAAATAATAAAATAAATTGAGATAAATTTCTTTTTAGAATTTTTATTCATTGAGTTTGTATATTTTAAGATTAATTTTGAAACTTTAATGTATAGCGACTCAAAAAACTGTTTCAATGTTGAAATATTTTAGAAAGAATAGCATATTACAGATAAATTGTAGTGAATAATGACATGTGGTTTATATAGCAAATAAAATACTCCTTTATAGCTACCAAATGAGCCCAGATTGAAAAGAATCCATTAGATAATTGCAAAGCTATGACCAATCTAATTTGGAGTAGTATTGAAACAATTTTTTGAATGTGGTTTCTAATTTTTGGATTCTATCAATTACTCAATATTATAACATTCTATTATCATCAAATTTACTATAAAAATATTATTACTAATCTAATGACATCATTAATGCTTACTAGCAGCTATAAAAGCACCATTCTTAATCACAATTCATGGCATGGATATATTCCAAATTACCACATTTCAGGATCTTCTAAAATCTTTTGTAAATTTCTAGAATCTTTTAGATACTTATAGAATCTTCTATAATCTTTTAGAAAGTTCTATAGGCTTCTAGAAGCTTCTTTAGAATTTTAGAAACTTCCATAGATAGTACCATAAACTTCTGTAATCTTCATTATAATATAAATAAGAGTCTTTGGAACCACTTTTGCTATTAATCTCATTCTTTGTCTTTAATCTTGACATATTTCTTTGGCACATTCTTGTGTCCTTGACAATTCCTTGAACAACTATGACACCTGTTCTCTCCTCTCTTGAAGATAACATCACCTTTGTTCTTCTTCATTCTCAAAAATCTTATCGCCAAATTGCTTCTAAACTTAGTTGCAATAAAGCTACTATTTTTAGGCTAGTAAAAAAGATCACTTTTAATAGGAAGAACCTTAAATTTGGCAGACCAAAGAAGCTCATTGTAGTAGATGAAAGGAAAATCATTTGCCAAATTAACATTGATAAGGCTGAAAATATTATTGAAGTTGCTAAAAACCTTAACAATATTATCAATAATCTTGTGTCAACCCAAACCATTGAAATGTTCTCAAGAAATGGAATATGAAAGCTATGGTGAAGAAGAAAAAGTCACTACTTTCTATCCACCATTAAAAACAATGCTTGAATTTTGATCTATAGTACAAGGAATGGATTGTGGAAGTTTGGAAAAAAGTTATTTGGTCAAATGAAACAAAAATCAACAGATTTGGGTCAAATGGCAAAAAGTGGGTGTAGAAACAAAAAGGTTAGTCTTTGCTTGACAAGAAGATCAAAGAAACACCTAAGCATGGAGGTGAAAATATAATGATATGGAATTATATGGGATAGAATGGAGTTGAAAGGATGGCAGAGGTTAAGGGGATGATGGATGTCAAGCAATTCGTGGAAATTCTTGAAAAAAACGTGTTCCTTAGTATTAAAGAATTTGGCATTTTTGAGGAGGAGGTGATTTTTTAGCAAGATAATAACCCCAAGCATAATTCAAAACTAGCATGGAAGTGGTTTAATCATCATGGGATTAAAGTAATGGATTCGCCTACTCAGTCTTCTAATCTTAATTCTATTGAACATCTTTAGAAGCACCTCAAACATCAGTTCAACACCTAGAAGATAAAACCAAAGGGATTTTGAAAATTATGGAAAATAATAGCTGCGGAATAGAATAATATTGAAGCAATTTTGTGCCAAATGTTAATAGAAAGTATGCCTAAGAGATTGGAAGAAAATATCAAGGCCAAAGGAGGTCCTACAAAGTACTGATATGTAATTGGATACCTCATTCAAAAAAATATTTTAATATTGTCCAAATAAGATTGGTCATAGCTCTACAATTACTTGATGGATTGTTTTCAACCTGGGCTCATTTGATAGCTATAAAAGAATACTTTATTTATTATACAAACCATGTATCATTATTCACTATAATTTATTTGTAATATGCCATTCTTTCCAAAATATGTCAACATTAAAATAGTTTTTTGAGTCATTGTATCATCTAAAAATCAAGTTTTAATAGATTTAAAATGAATCAATAAATGGAATAAAAATAAAAACCATTATTAAAAGTATCATTTATACCTTCATAAAATTGAATTGGAAATAATATTTCAAAAGTTTTGAATACAAAATAATAGTTTTTTTTTTTTTTTTTTTTTTTTTTTTACTTTAAATATATTTAGAGTTTATCTTTAGTTTAAAACATGTTGATTAGAATCTAACTTATGAATATAAAAGAATAAAAGAAAATTTTATTAATTAATATATTTAATCATGGCTAATATAAGCCAACAAATAATTTGTAGTAAATTTCAAATACATCAAATAAAGATCAAGATTGTGAGTCCTTTCTAATCTTAAATTTTATAAAGTTCTTTCATACCATCAATTCTTTTATTAATCTTATTGTTGAAAGATCTCAAATTAATATACATACTAATATAATATCATAGGATAAGTCTCAATTTTACATATTTGCTTAATCATGTATCCAATAGCTATATTTTACAAATAAAAATCAAATATGATTACACAACTTTTAAGAATCTAAAATAAATAATATCAAATTTTTTGACTATATAAAACTTTTGATTTTTTTATTTTATTTTTGATTTTTAGATTTCAAATTATTGATTGGTCTTTAAAAAAGTCTTGTAGAATTTAAATTATTTTTTTATTATTTAATTTTTTTGAACAAATAATAATAACACCAAAAAAAATGATTGTACCTATATACTCAATATCATAATTTATCAACTATGCTAATCCGATTTTTGTCTACTTGAAACAAATACTTCTTTCATATTCCAAAACAAAAGCCTTGTAAGATGCAAGGTCATCATCTACTTAGAAATAGATGAGAAAATGATCCCCTTTTTGTACAACAAAGTATGAAGCTATGCAACAAGAGACCTATGCAACAAGAGAGCTATGCAACATTCTTGTGATAAATTTTAGAAATTGGTTCCAAAAAGTCACCAAAGAGCAACCTTGAACTGTGTAAATAAATACTATACATCTACAGAGGGTCAAGGCTCTTGCAAGGTGAAGTGTTTAAAACAAAGTTAAAATAAACCCATTGTGTGACATATGTCCAACTTATACCACAAGTTACCAACATGTGCAATACATAGCCAACTTATTGGCCAATTTTTCAACCTAAAACTTGGACTAGTCACATTCCCAAGAGCAGATTGCTGGAGTTTCATGGATCGATGGATCACATTATTGAGGAGCAATGACCAAGCAATTGCTTGCCTTGAGTACCAAATGACCCACTTATCTGCAAAACTGAATGAATCATCTTCTTAGGTCCTCACTGAAACGCACCACAATAGCAACCTCTGGTTGAGGACTAGCAAGTTCTTGTGGCTTCAAGTCTTGAGCATATACCACCAAGCTCTTGGACCGGCAGCATTATATCACAAAAACAACAGTAGACTGAAATCTAGTTACACATGTGGTTGAGAGAAGTCACTTGCCGGAGCGGAGTACGTTTTAAAAGAAGTTGCTGCATCGTTGCTGTGTCGTCTAGTGTTCTTGATGTAGTGCAAGGATCCCTCCCTCACCCACTCCGCACTTGCTCCATCACTTGACCAGCTGCCATGAACACAGATGCTCCTCTTCATCCGGCTGCTGACACCCTAATTGGCAGAAGAGACCCACCAACAACTCGAACCCTAAAGTTTTTTATGAATGTGCTTGCAACTTGAATGTCCTCAATATGGTCAAAGAAAGGTTTCAAGAGAATTTGTACTGCTTACCATTAGTGTAGCCAGACCAACATTTACAGGCTGCCTTGGGAAGTTTTCCAGAAACGTAGAAACTAGAATCCGTCGATCTTTCATCAAGATTGAGGCGTTTCAAAGTAGTGGCTTGCTTTGCGTTCTAATAGCCTACCATTGCCCAGTCGGTTGATATTGCTTCTGTGGAAAAAATATGCACAACTTCATCCCGGCCACCCTTTTTATTTCTTTGTTCTTGGCAACTTCTTTACCGAAGGTTTCCCGTGTGTGTGAAAACAATCCTTTCACGGCTGCGATCAAGGTTGCACAAGTCGAATATTGCTTAGAAGATGAAGCTGATAAAGCTCTCATCAAATGCGAAGAAAAAACAGAACGAAAGAAAAACATATGTTCTAGCACAGACGATTGACATGGTCAAATCACTTTAACCTCTGGAGGACACTTCCTAACTATGCACAATATTTCATATCTTATCCTGCGACACTGAGTCACGACGTCGCGATGCACCACATGAGTTTCGCATACAAGAATTCACCTGGTGCCACTCACTTCCTGCTCGCGGCACCACGATAATATAAATGTGCAGTCGCATACCCAACGACATGACACAACGGAAATCCAGTTTGCAATTCGATCACAGTTCATTCGGGAGCAAGAAAGCCAACCTGTAGCCATAGCTCACCCGGCAGAGAACCACCATGATTTACCTGAACCAAATACTGCGAAATCTGCGCAAAATTCAGCCGGAAACGAGAGTTCAAGCTTGCAAGCGAAGGAGTAGAGCGATCACACATGTCATGGAGCAGGACGATCGGAGGAAGTGTAGCGAGACTTTGGCCGTATCTGCCGACTGGGCAAATTAGCGTGAAATGTGAAAATTCCATGGACTGAGAGCAATACCATTACCATTGTCATGGAACTTCTGATAGATCAAGGCTCCGTAAACGATGATTTTTTCCCGTCCAAACTCATGTGCTTTTTTCCATTCTGGTGGACGAACTGTTGAATCCAAGTTCCAGTATGCATGTGACGATTGTGGGTGTAAAACCTTTTAGGATGCAGCAACAAGTGATAGTTGATTTTTCTCGAAAGGCTTGACGCCCATTACTGCCAGTCAGGAACGAGCTCAGGCATCAAATCGCCCAGTCACAGCGTAAATCGTAATTAGTAATACCATGTGGGTGATGCATAACAAATTCCGACACCAGCAGTATAATTTCAGTACTGGGTATATGCATTAGAATGTGGATTGTTCAATACTTTGTTTAAGAAAGGTGTTCGTTGCGGGTGAAACCTGAATTTGTCACAAGGTTCTAGATGACGAGAAATGCTTTTTAATAACCGTCATTAGATTTTTAACTGTATAAAATAATGCGTACGTCATGGTTGATTAGAACCCTAGAAAGCACAAAGTAGAAGCTGAAGTTTAGCTCAGCTCATCAAAGTAATGCTGAGACGGCTGGCAGCTTTCAGGGGAGGACGGCAGCATGCCACTGATTGGAATGTTATATAGAAGAGATGAGCAGATCCTTGTACTCTAGGTCGGTATTGTGTTCATCTTCCTCTCGGAGACACCGAGAGAGGGCCGCTTGTCCTCGTTCCTCCAGCGTTTAATCGCTGCTTAGCTTTCAAACTGTTGGAGCTGGTGCTAGTCAATCTGTTCTGATTGGGTCGGCGCTCAACACCTACGGTGTGGTGCAATTTATTTTGCTTTGTGAGTGAGAGGGAAGGTGGTGCGAGTGATTGAGGTGGGGAAGAGGGCGTGTGGTTGGGTTTCACAAAGTTTTTGTGAAGGTTGTGCTTCTGGGTGTGTTAGTTTGAGAGTGGGTCTCTTAGGACATCTGCTGCACAGCTATGGCGGAGAATCAGGCGAGACTTCTGTTGCGGAAGCAGCTGAAAGATTTGTCCAGAAATCCAGTGGATGGGTTCTCGGCAGGGCTTGTGGACGACTCCAGCGTGTTTGAATGGAACGTGACCATTATCGGGCCGTGTGAGACTCTGTACGAGGGGGGTTTCTTCAACGCCATCATGAGTTTTCCTTCCGACTACCCCAACAGCCCGCCGTCTGTTCGGTTCACCTCCGAGATGTGGCATCCGAACGTGTACCCCGATGGTCGTGTGTGTATCTCAATTCTTCATGCTCCTGGGGATGATCCCAACGGCTATGAGCTGGCCAGCGAGCGATGGTCGCCCGTGCACACTGTGGAGACCATATTGATCAGCATCATTGCCATGCTTTCGAACCCGAACGACGAGTCTCCTGCGAATGTTGATGCAGCGAAGGAGTGGCGAGACCAGAGAAGTGAGTTCCAGCGCAAGGTGAGGAGGATTGTGAGGCGCTCTCAGGAATTTGCTTGAGACGGTAATTGTCTTGGAGTGGCTGTGAGGCGAACATCCCACAGATCATCGAGTGGCGTGCTGTGGCGTGGCGTAGTTCTATCTTCACATAGTCGTGGTATGCAAAGTTCTAAAACAATTTTGTTGGAGGACATGTGAGAATGTATGGGCGTCAGCGGTATATTGTAATGGATTGAAAGGGTAGGGAATCAACCCATGTAAAGCTCATTATGCACATGAAAGTTGGCGAAGACAAAACTAAAGAACACGGTTAATACTGTGCATAATGCAGATTAGGGGTTGCAGCTGACATTGGGCAAGATTTGTAAGGGGTGAATAAACACATAATGAACAGTCCTGCTCTCTGCCTGTTCCATACTCGCCATTATTTTCCAACCATGTCTGTGAACGGTGTACTGGTCAGAGTTGGCAACAGCTTCTGGTTCTGTTATTTGTATGGTGAAATCTGGTCTGCTCTTGTCGGAATTTCCAATCACCCATTATGACGTGGACAAGGAGGCGTGATGCATGCAACTTGACGTGTTACAGTCCACTCGACGATTTGTGGATAGCCGAAAGTCCAATTCTTCATATATATAGTAAACGTTGTTTTCACACCCCTATCGTCAAGCTCTTGAATCAGGCGCGCCGCAAACGGCGGTATGATTCCATGAAGATTCAGAAATGAGGTCGTTTCACGAGAGTAATCTGTCGTACGGTCGGCAGATGCAGGTGTACCGATCGGTGGGATGTACGTAGATACACGCATACGACGAATTGGTTGGACTTCGAGATATGTGTGTATGCTTTGCTTGGTTTGCACTAAGCAAACAGTGAGGGTTTGAGCTAGGTTTACTTGCCACACATCTATTTTTGTGCTGTTTCTCGCTTATGTACCCAATCACTCACCATGAGTGGGCTATTGTTGAACTTGGTCCACAGGAAAACCTATTGCGTTCATTAGACGCAGACCACGAATCTGTAAAGAGTCCTTGGTTAGACAAAAGTTATGCCCACCTACCGGTACCTATGGCCCTTGAGTGGGTCAGGCATCCTTTGCTTGTTGAGTGTCTTGCAGCTGTGCCATTCTCAGTCGCGAAGACTTGAGGTGCATAGTAGCACACCATTTCTTTCAGAACAGCGGCATAAGTGTCATTTACACAGAAAAATCTAGTGAAACATAAATCAGCTTACAAGAACATTACAAGTGGGTTATATTCCAGAGGATTCGAATTGTATTCTCTATTCTATCAAATAGCACTGTAGACTGGATATGGATTGTCGCAGAAACGTCACTATGGTTTCACGGCATGAACGACAAGTTCATGTCTCGATGTTATGTTGACTGGACTGCATCTGGGTTCACACAATTGTTCATTACTTAATTTAGTGTCCTCTCGCTCTCTTGCTAGAGATGAGGTGATGACAGGCAGCTGCCAGCGTATTGTGACCCATGACTACAGTATGAATGATTCCCTCATGAAACGGTAGAATCGAGAATGACTGACCCCATGGAGCCTTGTAATAACAGATGGTAGAAGTCAGGTGGGAAACATGAGGTATCATAAAAAGCTACGCATTGTGAAAAGTTGGAATCTTCTAGCCATTTTGTGCGCCAAGATTTTTCTCATGTTGTTTGTGGGGTAGTGCGACACAAGAGGTTGACAGAGCATGCTGCCGGATGGTATAGAAGCCACTACTCGTGGAAAAGGCCTCTAAATGCATCCTAAACCAAAAATTGATCCTGTCGACAAACTAGACCCACCGTGGTTTTTCTGATGTACTTGAATTTCAAAGTTTCCATCTGTATTGCAATTTCTTCACAATTTCAAATATTGAAAGGCCGCACTTGGCAGGAATACACGAAAACTACCCCGTATCATTTGTGATGGCAACTAGGTCAATGATACGAGTCAAGAATTCGACTGTGGTGTTATTTTTCCCATGGCGAATCCTGTACAATTGCATGCCATAACTTCACTGCATAATTTGGCGTCATTGCGTTGGATTACAATGCTCTCTAACCGTTTTCAGTCTCTACACTCTACACATAAGTTACTAAATTACGACCATGGACCTTCAAATCCAGTCTCTGCACCCGATATCTCCCTATTCAAAAGGAATGAGGTAATGGACCTGATTCAAGTTTTCGAACACCTGTACTTCTACCAACCCTTTCCGATCAGCCACAACCAGTCGACAACGACTCCAACAAAGAGGCCAATAACCAGAAAAAGAACGAGAATGTTCCCCAAGGCATTTTGCTCCGGTCCCTGCATCAAAACTCAGATTCAATTCCTTCAAGATCAATAGCTGCTTCGTCCAAAACTTCACATGCGACGATTAATGATATAGTCGAACTATGTGCAGAACACTAGGATCGCTGAATGTCAAATAGAATTGGTGATGTTAGCCAGGAGTAAAGGTAAAGAGGTTGCGTACCAAATAACCTTTTGGTGCGCCTACGAAAGCGCACACAGTGACGTAACCATTCGAAACTCCCAGTAAGGTGGTCAAAATGATCATCCACCCTTGCGGCCCATACTTGGCTGTAAAATAAAACGCGGGGATAAATACAACTCGAGAGAGCGTAGCAAGAAGCAGCATTGGGCGTGATTTCAGCAAAAGGCTATCAATCAATGGGATGTAGCGGCCCAGCAGATCCCCAACGTTGTACATTGCTACTAGTGTTACAGAATACCTGAAAACGAGTGGAAGTCGTTTCACATGTCAACTTTCATATCACGTTTCCAAAGTAATCAAAAACAGTGAAAGGTTCATGTTATAGTTCACTACAGAGTTGTTAAGCAGCGGGAAAGCATTACCATGTGCCTAAATGATGTTTCCCTGTGTCTTCAGCCAGGAAGCCGGGGAAGATCGAAAGTGTCAAAGTGAAGCAGAAGCATATTATGAAACAATAATCGGCATTCTTTGCAAGCAATTGCGAGGTTGTCAGACGTTCCAGCGGCATCAAGGCCTTCATACCTTGTTGATTGTCCTGCCATGAACGTAGTTTAAAGTCACAATTTTCTGAAAGCTGGACAAAGGGAGTAGATTTAGTATGAAATTGCTCTGCACAGTGGAATCAAACTGCACACGAAATTTTAGCCTCGAAAAATTGAAGGTTTAGCTTACTGTTTCATTTCTGTAGGTAGTGCTGCCGACAGCCACCAGATCAGCAGATACCGTAAGAGATCCCTCAGATGCAGCCTTGGTTCGGAAGTACTTCACGAAAGCCAAACGTGGGAACACGTAGGCGTACAAGAGAATGCACGTAAATTCAAAGAAGGCCGAAATGAAGAAGAACACCACTGATTGCAATACAAGAGCCTCAGCATTAGAGCGAACTTGATGGAGAGAGTTTGAGACATATATGACCAACGTGTGCAACACTGGGGAGCTGATAGGTAGTTCTAGAGCTGTTCATTAAAAAATAAACATGACAATGGTAATCCAGAGGCAGAATCCTATCACAATTAGAGCTTATCAAAGTTAAGGAGTCTGCGTTGACGATTCTATTTAATGCTCTCTACAAAAAAAAAACAAAACAAAACAAAACAAAACAAAAAACAAAAAACAAAAAATTGTCTAGCTAAGTGCAAGAAAGTTTTCGTCTTGTACGATATCTTAAGCGACAAGAGGAGACATACTTACAAGCACTATTACGGAGTCCATCCTTTGTATTTGGGAAGCTGGACTTGCAAATCAAGCGAAGACCCGAGGTTATTGCACCTGAGGCTGCTAAGCCTGCACTGAACGCCTACAAATATCATCAAAGACGGCAGTTGTTCGTTACATATGTGCGACTTCATATGACTCGAGGGTACAGTTAATTTTAAACATCTACTATAACGTATTCGACAACTGAGCAATATTAACCCTTATCAAAGACAGAGGTACGGTACACCCTAAAATAGTTTCAAGGGTTTTGAGCTGGAAAGAACGAAAATGAAGTTTGGGGCTCCAAGTCCTCCTGGCAAATATAACTCTAGAACATGAAAGAGAGATAGTCAAGAGAGTACTTAGAATGCTGAATATTAGACTAAACCTGAACATAGCTTGAATCCATGAAGGAAACCTCGCCGAACATGCCCCCTTGAACAAATGCATCTGCAACGCCAAAACCTGCAATAAAGATACAGGTACCCACAAATGCTCCAATACCTCCATGCCCATTGGTGGCTAAATCCAGCTGTAGCCATTCAATTCAAAGCGTGGTGATTAGCCTCTACTCGATCAGTGATGAAAGTTCGCTTAAATCTGCACCTCCCATACTTACAGGCTATTATCCAATTATGAAATCTACATGTGGGGGTTTAGCTATTACAGCGATCCTTCAAATATTGTGTTGACACTTACGATTGGGATGGCCAGTATGAAGATGAAAAAGAGCGTGTAGCCAGATATAAGACGTAAACGTGTATTGATGCGTGCCTCGTGGTATGTGAGGATGAGCATGGTTCCAAGTGCAAATGGTTGGTAAACCAAAGTGAACACTCGTGCTGCATGGTAACCCTGTACACACCCACCCAACCTTGTTTGTGAGTGTGAATCAGCAGCATCCATACCATGCAGAAGAGATGAACATTCTACCTTTCATTTTGTAGTGCTTCGAAAGACTAGAATTCAAATGCATGATCCTACTAGAGAGGACCTACCGTTTCTCTACAACCATCAACTTGGTACATACAGTCACTGAATGCAGGTCACAGATTTAGAACCATATATAATGAATGATTCACAGTCAATTAAATTCGGAACCTTAGAGAGGACCATTAAGATCATGCTAAGAAGTCACAATTCTTTACTCCCCTTCCAACAACCGTGTCTAAACTCATATTTCTTACATCAGTACCATGCCAAGAACGTTGTGTATTCATACTCTACGGTTAATTGGTTGTACCCCTTCTGCCAAGTTCTCTGGCTCCATCCATCTCGATTACCAACATACAGAGTCCACTTGCACAATCTATTTCAATATTCCAGAATCTACTTTCGACACACTCTATTCGCAAAAGCACAGCATTCAAGAGCTTCATCAATCCAATTGCAGCAGAAGAAAGATGGTATTAAACAGAAAGAAGTGAATATTAAGCTTTGGGAGCACTTACGTCAAATACCACCAAAAAATAATCTTGGATGGTAATCAGACTATTCCAGCTGAACAGGCAGCCATTTCCCAGTAACCAACACACAAGGTAACCCACGGTCCTGCCCTGAAAATAAATGGTCTTCAACAATTTAGATCATAAACGAATGCTGTCCATAGAATTTCGGAAGTAGCTAAAAACAAAAAAAAAAACTGAAGTCAATAACCATGCCTAGTGAACGATGGCAGCAGGGAGTAACGTAATGAACCAGAGATTATTGGGCCACATCCCAGATTTAACCAACCAAAGGCAACGAACTCAATCATTTTAATACACTAGACCAAGGAGAAGAGCACCGCAGGAGGCCAGGGGGACATCATAAGGTGGGTTGCAACCTCTTTTGAGGCGAAGGCGATAAGCTATATCTGATGTTCAACTGCGGATGCCTTATAAATGAATCTGTATATATATATATATATATATCAACATTCATGTCCCTTTACACAAATGATTAAATCCTTTATTGTATAAGAATCAAGGTTTTAGAGAGCATTTATGGATCATGGATAAAGACATGACTGTATGTTTCTAATTCGCAAAGCGGAATTCCCCCATGAATACAATTCGAAAGCTGTGGTATCAAGTAATTGAGACAAAAAGGAAAAGATACTTGATTTATAAACCCATAATCTACACTCTGCACGACACTAGTTTAGAATCAATGAGAATTTGTAACAATAAAGCGGAAACTTGGCAGAGGGACCGCTGAAAGATTCAGTGTGTTTTCACTGTCCCCAGACGCCATGCTTGAAGGGACTGAGGCGCATATTTCGCCAGGTGCAAATCGAAAACCACAAACCAAAATAATGAAATGAGATTGCTTGTGAGTTTTTAAATCGAAGATTGATAGCAATACTGGCTGAAAGTACCTTGTGGGCATGCTCATCTACTTCAAGAGCAGGACTCGTTCCTGAAAGAGAATCCGCCATAGCTCCGAGAGTTTCTGTAGAAATCCCACTGCCTGAGATGTTCGACAACAGCTACTAGACTATGATCCCATTAAAAATTTGTCGTCCTTCACAACACAAAACCCCTAGAAAGAACTGTTTTCCCTCCTCCAGAATGCTGGCGCAACGGCAAAGATGGCCCGCTAACCTCACAGCTTCACTAGCTTTCCTCCCTTTTGTATGAGAGCTGGCAGCGCTACAGATTTCCCGTAAACACGAAAAGATGTTGAGCTCAAAACGTGAAAGCAGTCTGAAAGGAGCGTAAAAGGACTCAACACTTTTGGAGGTCAATCGCGTTGATTTTCTGACTTCATCAAAAACTTTCATATCCCAACAAGATCCCTTGAGAATGATCACGACTGCGAAGAACTTTAGAAGCTCTGGGATGGCCCTTTCTCTTTTTCTCTCCCTCTAAAATTAAAACGGCGCGAAGGAACAAGTAAACTGGAGTAGCACCTGTCCCTTAACTGCAGTACTAACTTACTCATAGCAGTACTTCATGTTATGATTCTCAAGCAGTCCTAGAATAGGATGTGTTATGAAAACATGATTTGTTGCACAAGGTGGACATCATTTGTTGCAAATGAAATGTGCCGGTAGCAAAGGAGAGGGCACTTCTAGAGCTTTTTGGTACATATAACATGGGACATTCAACACTCCTCTTTTGGAAGTAGGACTTAATTCTCTACTAAAACAAAATCTAACATATCTCTAAAAGCTAGAAACTTATCTCTAGAGAGAGCTTTTGTAAAGATGTTCGCTGCCATCTACTCTGTGGGACAATACTCCAAACCAATTTGTCATTTTGCTACACATTACCTAATAAAATAATATTCTGTATTTCAATGCATTATATGACCATGGTGTGCTAGATTCTTTGCAATAGCAATGGCATTCTTGTTATCTTCATTAATAAAAATCCTTTTTGGCTTAAAAATGTTATAATTCCTAAATACTCTACGAAGCCACAAAGTCTCTCTTATTGCAGTAGCCAAAGTTGCATATTCTACCTCCATTGACAAAATAGATGCTAAAGTTTGCTTCTTGCCTGACCAAATGATAATTACTCCTTCCAATATAAACGCATAACATCTTACTTAATGGCACATCTCGACACAACTTGCTCCATCTGCATCATTATAGCCTAAAAGTTGCAAATTTGATTCTTTTCTTTCATATTGCAATACCAAATATTTTGTTCTTTGTAAGTAATAAAATATTTTTTTAAATCCTTGTCAATGCAAAACATATGGATGTACCATATATTAAGCAAAGTATTAACAATTACATGCAATATCATACTTTACACCATTTGTAAGGTATAATAATAAATCTAAAGTTTTTTGATAAAGCTTTACAACTTCTGCATCTAAAAGATCATCATTCCCATGCTTAGTGACATGACTTTGTACCATCGGTATAGCAACTGCTTTTATATCTTTTATCCCAAATTTCTCCAACTTTCAAAAAATGTATTAAGTTTGGCTCAAACTAAGAATATCATTTTTCTTATCTTGCAAAAAATCAATGTGAAAAAAATCACTAGTTTTACTAAGGTCTTTCATCTTGTAGCATTCTTACAATTCATCCTTGTATTTCATAAGGATCTCAAAGTTCTTACTACTAATAAGTCATTAATATAGATAATTAGTGCAAGAATTAGTTTCTCAATGCACATTGTATATAAACAAGGGTCTAATTTTGAACGCTCTCAACCAAGGTTCAATAAAGATTTATCCAAACTCTCATTCCATCTATGTTTTAAAGCATGATTGGATGCAAAGTAATGGAGCCATTGCTAGCAAGTTTTTTCTTAAGCATCTATTTTGAATCTACAATATTCCTATTATTAGATAAAAATAAAAATTTCCATGTACTATAATCTTTCAAAGAATTGAGTTCTTTCTTTATGGCATAACTTCCTTTACAGCATTGTTCATCTAGCTTTCATACCATGTTACAAAAACAGGATGTGTTATAAAAACATAATAGATATCATTATTTGCAAACAAAATGTGCCAGAAGCCAAGAAGAGGGTACTTCCAATGTCTCAATTAAGAATTGGATAAGTCACAACTTTTGGTACATATAATATGGGACATTCAATAAATTAGCTACATCCACTTTCTAAAGTACAGCCTCATCTAGTATATTCATAATATTCTCTCTAAAGCCATTCAAAAACCATATTCCCTGCCCTCTTACATGCACATATCTGCAAAATCTGCACACACTTCAATGTCAAACTTTTACACTCTACTAATACCAATTCTTATCTCTTTCAAATCTAAAAACCTCCAATATATACACATGTATATATACACAAAGTATTCAAAATGTCATGTGATGTGGCATAAAGTACCAAATCACATTGGATGAATGTAGTTTAATATAATTTAGTGGATTTTCATGTACTTAGCATTTTATGCTAGTTGGTCTTGTTAGTGTCAATTAGGATTTTGAGGGTTCAAGTAAAGAAACCCCTTTGACTTGATATTCTTGACAATTCAAAGCTTGTAAGTGGTTTTTAAGAGAAAAGGTTTATATTTGTAAGATTTTGCTTGATTATGGTAGTTTAGCTATTTAGTAAAGTTTTAGTTTTTTTTCCACATACTTGTACTCTTGGATTCTCTTTTTATGGTATAAGAGGTAGCTTGACTAAGTTGCATTTAGATTTATTATTATTCCTTAAAAGTATATTACTTGTACATTCTTATTTGGTTTAGATTGCATACTTGATGTTGATTTTTAGCACTCAATCTATTATACATGATGATCTTTGTTTATACAACAAATGACTTAGGTAGAATATGTCATGTACAAATTAGAAATAAAACCAAAATACAATGTAAGAAAATTATACAAATGCATCTCAAGACATTTTAATAAAAGCATCAAAAGACGAACAAAAACAAAACAAAAAAAACATTGATTATGCATCAATAATGAAGAAGAAAGATCATGTGATGAAGAGAGGAAGAGTATAAGAAGGCAAAGAAGAAAACAAACCAGTCTTAGCAAATGAGGGATTTGTTGTCATTCTATCCAATTATATATGTAGCTCTTGCTATAATCCTTGATCCAAATCTAAATCTTGTTTTCAACATAATAAATTATGTATTTTCTATTATACTATATAATAATATTTATATTATTTTTAAAAAAAACTAAAATTTTAAAAATATATTTAAAAATAAATAATCATATCTATATATATATAATTATTTATATTTTTTAATAATCCTATAAAATCTCGATTTAAATTTTATTTATATATATATATATATAGATATATATATATATATGTGTGTGTGTGTGTGTGTGGATTGTATGCTTAAATTTTTAAGCTTAAATTTTTTACTTTTTATTCTATGATAAAATAATTTTTATTCCTTATAATATATTTATCACTTTGGGAGATATATAAGTATTGTAGTTTTTGGATTGTGCTGTAAAATTGGTAATAGCAACACAAAAATAAAAAAATCTTTTCTAAAAGTGAGAAGATAATTTAGAAATAAATTCTTTTTTTAAAAAAATCACTTTTTTTGCTAATTTGGCTTTAAATTTATTTTCATTTGTTCTAAATAATTTTTTTTTCTTGTACACTTATTTAAAACCAATTTGTCTTTTCTTTAAGCAATTCTAGTATATTCAATGATTGGCACTTACAAAAAACCTCACTTCATCTATTGTTTTTTTCTTCTAGCATTGATTTTTATTTTGGATATCTTCTCACTATGAATAAAATTTATTATTATTATTTTTACTAAATAAAATCAAACCTAAGTAAACAAACCTATTTAGAACTTTGTTTCTTCTTTGTAATCTCTGTAATTTTAAGTTTTTCATATCTTTATCATCAACTTTCTTAAAATTTATGGAAAATTAAAATATTTTTAGAAATAAAATAAAAAATAAAAACTATCTCAAGAATAATAAGTGCAATACTCTTTTTTATAGCCTTAAAAGATATATTTTCTAGTTTTAAGATCTAAGTTTTATATATTTATTTTTTAAAATATTAAAAAATATTTAAAATCTAAAAATTCTAAATTTGAATTTTTTATAAATTTATTATTGTACATTTTTTTGGGTGTTATGAACTTAATATTAGTATATGATAAAAGATATTTAATAATACTAATAAAGTTAAAAAATAATAATCTAAAAGTTTATTTATGGCCTAAAATTATTCAATACATTTTGGGTCTTCTTTAAGAACTTTTAATTCAATGTTCTAATACTTCATTCTATTAAAAAATGTTTAAAATAATAAATTCATGCACAAATTATTTATCTCCTAAAACATTCTTCAATAACAATAATTTTATAATATTTTCTATTGTCAAATCTCAAAAAATAAAAATAAAAATAAACTAATATATTTTTCTATCATGTTTAATTCTTTTTGAATTTTAAGTATTTTAGAAGATTTATTTAAGATATATAAAATAGATATAACAGCTCTCCTATAATATTATTTTCTACAAGATCATTTGGATTTTTAATCTTCTTACTTTTTATTACCTCACAAATTTCTTGAAATAGATATTTATATCTTTTTTAAAAAAATACAAATACAAATAGGTACAAAACATAGTAGGTAGATAATATTTTCCTCAAGCAATATCAAAAACAAAATCTAGATGCAAATCAAATCTTTAGATTTTTTTAAACAAACCTCATAGTCATAAAAATATCTCTTAGAAGCTTTTTTATTTTTATGAAACTACTAAAATAAAACTCTACAACTTAGACACTTGGTTTACAATCCATGTAGTCTTTCTAAGGTCTTAATATAGACTCCTTATAACGTAGTATAGGAAAACTTTTTATTATTCAAGCAAGGTAAAGATCATCTTAAAACTTTTCAGTATTTTATTCATTTTCTAATCTTAATTTAAGACTCTTAATTTTCTTTAAAATTATTTTTTTTATTCTAAACTATTTACCTTTTATAATTGTACCTCTACTTCTTCTTTTTTATTAATATTATTTCCAATTCTGTACATAAGTATATTATCCATTTAGAAATTTTTTTAATTTCATAGTTTTAATAATTTAAAAAAATAAAATGAACAATATTAGAGTTTAATCTTTTTTAAAATAGAATTATCTATAATTTTAAATTAAAAATTTTAAATATTATAATATTACAATGTTTTTAAATTAACTTCTTTTACATTATTTTAGTGATATTATGTTTTTTATTATTGTATAAAAAATCTTGAGTTATTATTTTTATAAAAAGAAGTTAAATGAAGAATTTTCAAAAAAAATGCAAGAACTAAATAAAACAATCAATTTTGGCTATACATTAGCTTTATTTATTATTTCTATTAATATCAAGAATTATTTAGAAAAACAATTTAAATATATTTCTTGTAAATCTTTTTATTTTTTTATAGAAAATATCATACAATTTATATATCAATTAATAAAATATTTATTTTATCACAAAAATAATGATTCTATACATAAATTTATTTATTTATTTATTTAATAATTAATTTTAAATAATATTATGTAATACTTATTTATTCATATTTTTAGAAATTAAAAAATAATGTGACAAAATTTTTTCTTAATTTACTTGATTTTTAAATGCTAAATCAAGAAATTAATTTTTCTATCAAATAAAAAAATTAATTTTTAAATACCAATCAAAAAACAATTATTAATTCAATGCTTCAAAACTCCTATAGCAAGTACTTCTATTAAATTAGATACAATCAAAAGTAAAAGATATACAAATTAATATTACACAAAATAAGAAAAAATATAATATTTTCAAAAAATATTGTATCTATAAAGTAGAAAATTAAAACATATTTTCTAATATTATCCTATGATAAATTGGAACCATTAGATAAGAAGTGCAATTTTAAACCTAAACAATGTATTAAAAAACAAGTTTGTCTAGCTACATTAGAGACTATGTGGTTGGTTTCTTAAACAATATCATCTTACAAAGGTCATGTTTTATCTAATAAACTCTTTTTTTACTTAATAGTATAACTTTTCTTAGAACCTATACATTGTGCAATTTCAACTTCCACTTTATTAAATTCTATAACCTTTGTTTGTTTTCTTAATAAAGAGTATTTTATGCCTTATAAAACACTTTGTGTACAAAAACCTATGCTTATAAGCATAGAAGTTATAGATACTTAATTGATGCATTTTTCAAATATCAATTTTAAAATCCTTCTTATAGAATTACTCACATGTATTTATAAAATCACAATGCTCTTTAACATTGCCAACATACCAAATAAACTTGTTGTCTTAGATTTATTATGGTCAAAAAAGTACATTCTTAAGATAGATTGGCATCTCATGTCTTTCTAATAATAAATAAAAACCACAAATTCATAAACAAAAAAATAACAAAAACAATATACATCTCATATTTTTTACTTCTAATTGCCACAATTAAGAGATTTTTATTCTTTTTATTTAAATCAACATAAACTACTATCTTAAAATAGTTGAACTTTGTGCTAGTTTAAATTTCTTTTTTTTTAAATTAAATCTCTTTCTAGATGTTAAATATTTATATATTTTGAGCATTAAATTCTATACTTGTAAATTTTGTTTTAATATTTCAACTTAAACTTATCTCTATAATTAAAAAAAAAATTATCATTTTTTCTCTCACAAGTAATGCTTATATATGAATATATAAAAGTTTTACTTCTTTTACTTTTTTTGTCTTATTAGATAAGAGGGAAAAATTAAACTCTTTTAGTTATGTTGTGTCTTTTCTATACAACATAATAGTAACCAAATTCTCAAATCATAGAGGCAAACAAGTTAATAGCATCAAATTTTATATTTATTTTTCACTTTTATATTAATACATATCAACTTAAATAAGTTCTTATTAAAGATGTCCAAATAATCTAATACCCCATTACTCTTCTTAATCTACAATGTGCACAATTATTGCTTAAGAAATAGTCTATTAGTCAATAATTTTTTTATATACAAAGTTATTTCATTTTTCTATAATAGTTATAATAGATTTTTATTTATAATATTTTAAAATATTTTAATTATAAGATATAATTAAAGTTTTCTTACTAATGCTAACCTGATCTCTATATGGGTCTCATGTATAGGTTTTTTTTAATAATTTGTGAAACCTTTTACTTTCAAATTTCACAAATTAAAATTTTTCTTGAGAAATTTCGTTTAGTTGAAGTTTGCATTGAAATCTTTTTTATTGTTGCATCATCCAAACTAAGTTATTCCAAATTTGGAGCAATTAAATATAAAATCATACACATGCAAAGAAACATATAGATGTTAAGATGATTTTATTAAGAATTAATCAAATATACATGCAATCTTAGTTTACTAATGCTATTAATTAGAGCTGCCAATCATTCTTAATGGTTTTACAAGATATCCTAATTACTAACCAAACATGACATATATAGTGCTACAAGAACAATATCCCTCCCCCCATTTCAACCTCTCCCTTTGTTTTGAAATTTCATAGAATGATTGTTAATGACATGCAAACTTGCCATATTGTGTTTTTAACAAGTAGATAAATTATAAAATAGGAAAAATAATAATTAAATGAAAAAAATTAAAAATTAAAAACTTTTGTATAAAATAAAATAAAAATTTACATTTGAATTTAAAATTAATATAATCAAAACACATATATTATAAATAACATCTAATTAAAATATTTTAACAGCAACCAATTTTTTAAATATAACTTTTTTTCTATCAACTATAAATTTTTTGTATATAAATACAAAAAATTAAATCATTTATACTGAAAAAGAAATAAACATGCTACACATTTAATTTTGACTTAGAATCTAAATATTTTTCAATTTCCATGTGCAAACATATACCTATGAAGATTTTTCATATTTTTAAAAACTAAGTATTATCTTGTATTAATATCTAAAGTAATACTTATTTATATTAAATTATTACTATAATTGGTATAAAACTTTATATCTTAGTATTACTAAAAAAAATCTTAATATTTTTAATGTAATATCTTATTAATTTGTAGAATACTATACAAAGAATATAAACATTATTAGAAATTTTTAGTTCATTATTTAAATTATTTTTTAATATTTTAATTTTTATGGTTTTATTTAGTATTTTTTAATTTATTTATTAGAAATTTAATTATTATATAAAAATATATATCAAATATTTAAGTTTATATAATGTTAAAGTTGTAGTCACATATTATTATTTATATTCTTTTATTTTTTTATTATTTATATTTGAAATCGAGTATTTTATTAGAACCAAATATACAAAAATACTGATTCAAAATTTTTAAAGTGCCAATAAGTTTTTTTTAATTATTAAAGATAAATCATTAGAAACTATTTGGATTAGATTTTCAAATTCAAAATATATTTATATTTTACCAAAAATATCTTCTAGACTTAAGTCATCTATTAAATGTTTTAAATTTGTCAGATTATTATTATAAAATTAATAATAATAATAATAATAATAATAATAATAATAATAATAAAATAACTTATACAAAAAAATTGTTGGTGTGTAAGACAAGACTATTTAGATGTTAAGATTGTCTTCTTGTCAAACATTTGATGTGTTGTAATTTACTGGTTAGCATTTTTTCTAATTTTTTGCAGAGACAAAATATATGATATAGAAAGAACCAGAATTTAAAATGAGTTTTTATATTAAATGTTCTCATATGTTCAATCATTGACAATAGACTATTTATATATATGCATATATGTATATTCATATATATGTCTATTTCTTTCTTTCTTTTTCAGGTCCTCTACATAATAATTAGACATTTTTAACACAGAAAATGATTTTTTTAATTAAAAATAAAATAAAGAAGTTAGAAGAAAAATATATATAGTAAACCAAAAGGAGAATGTACTTGCAAAGATTTTTTTATTTTTTATTTTTACTATCGTGTAATTATATTGAACCTTACATGCAAGTCTAAGGCATAACTGATCTCAACTTCTTCCATCGTTGGGTGAAGAATGTAGCATCGACTAGAAACTCTAATGCTGATTACACTGGATGTTGGTACACAAAAATCGAGCTATGGTTATGCCTTCAACGCTTGAACCTGGCCCTGCCATGTTGAGAAGTAATCTCGAAGAATGAGTGGCTCTGTAAAATGGAAAGCCGAACATCGAGCTGTTGCTGAAGCAACAAAAGAGAGATCCGCAGCATAGAATTGCATTTTACACGTAGGAAACTTCTGGCAATCAGTTGTGACAAACAAAGGAGCACAGACATGGCCCAGAATCCAGTTCTTCGTGCCAGAACGGTGAATGTAGAGGCTCACTTTCACTTGAACAGTGACCCAATTGAAGAAGAATATCGTTTGTGAAGTCAAAATATCGAAGTGCAACACCTTAACCAAAGCATTTAGAGTGGATTTCGAAGAAAACAGAGCGCTTCTGGGACTCGACATACGCTGGCCCTGGCACAAGGAAATTACTCGTAGAGAATTTGATGATTTCCTGACATCATGAACGTGTGGCAAGAGAGGTTAAAAATTAGTTAGTCGTTGTCATGATGTTGCTGTGTCTCGACAATTTGTATGGAAGATCAGTCTTAAGTTCACCAAACTCGATCTGTTTGCGTGTTGACATCCTGCACATCTAACAACATTCATACGAAACCGCTCCACTCTAAATTACAAGCATGCGGGGTGTGAACCATGAGTTGAGAGTAGTATCAGAGAAACACATGAATGTGTTGATTGACAAACCACTCATGTAATAAATTACAAAAGCAACAATCCTGTCCATGCAACTAATGAATGAAGCATATATCTGAAAATATGTTCACAAAGCATCCGTATCTTAGGGTGGATACATTGCATGTGCATTCAAAATGCCTGATACTGATTGAATATTATGATTACCTAGAAAATTAGTTTACAAATCAAAAGCTGCCTCAACCTCGGTTGTAATGCAAAATTCGGTTCACAATGCATTCAACCAACAGCAATAAAATCAATCGCCCTCAGACGATCTTCAATCTGATTGTATGTCATCAGCTAGTCGTATTCCCTGCAATGATAATCACCGTGAAAGAAAAGATGAGTTTCTCAATCAGTTGATAAGGCAATCCAAAAAAAGTCAACAAGTAAAAAGAGTACCTTGGTTTCGATTGGAAATAGCAAAGTGGCCATGCTTGCGATTAAAGGAACCGCAACAAAAAGCAGCACCGAAAGTACCTGCAACCAGGCCAGCACACTACGTTAGAAATACATGAAATCGTGAAGAATTCACGAAGAAAAAAAAACTTGAAACGGCACTGATTTTGGTGTAGCGTGAATTATGGCGCCCCTGCCTCTTAAGCCTAGTGCACAGAACGAGAGAAGCTCTAGTCAAGATAAGAGATAGATATAGTTGAAGGCACTTTAACAAAGTAGACAAGCTTACCCTATGACCATTTTTCATCATTTCTATTGCAACAAAGGGGCACAGGAAACCGCCAATGCGACCAGCGGAATTACTAAAACCCAGGCCAGAGGATCTCAGCTTGGTCGGGTATAACTCCGGAGCATAAGCCCACAAGATAGAGAATGCTCCCATGATACAGCTCCGGGCTCCAAACATGAGCGAGGTGGTAGCCATCTCCGAAAGAGGTTTCCAAAGCGGAGCTACAAAGAGGCTGGTACCAAGGAGAAGAGCTCCCAGGCTGGCCTTCCGGCCATAGCGTTCGACTATCAGGCAAGCCACTAACAATCCTGGGAGCTCCGCCAGAGATGTGATTAGAACTGCTTTGTAACTTGAAACGTCCGTGCCTGGCCTACCATCCGGCATGCACTTAGTCTCCGTGAGGAGGAGCTTGTCGTGAGACTTGACAGGTAGCTCGGTAGTCAAGAGCACTAGCCCATAGTAGGTGAAAGCATTGGCGAAAAAGAATGACCATAAAAGTATTGTGGTTAGCTTCAGCTCAGGAGAAAACAATTGCAGGAAAATGGAGAACGCTCCTTTAATTCCACCTTGGTCCATCTGGCGAGGAGTCTCATCACGACGGCCACTCGGAGTATTTATTTTTACGACCGCCCGGTCTGCATTCATTCAACATATCAGAAAGCAAGCTAAACAAGTGACTGTTAAACGAAAACCTGTTCAGATTGTATAAGAAGAGATTACTAACAAATGGGTACATGTACACATTAGAAGAAATCCCATGCCCTTCCTCAGCTGAAGGATTTGGATCGAACTCAAGGAATTTAAAGAGACGGAATGAAAGTCATAGAAAGATCTCATCAGGATTCGATATTATACCACAAACGATTTGACGTGGTAACTTAGCAAGTGAGAGGTTGCCAGTCGGCACAGGTGCTCCATTGATATATGCAACCTGTCTTAAAACCTTCCGTGCTCCCTCCACGTCCCCTTTCACCTACTCTCAGTGATCAAGCACACCCAATTAGCTATCTAAGGAATATATATATATATCAGGCGTTACTACCACATCCTGCAATCAACTTTGAGACGCTACTACGGGAAAGTTCAAATAGAGAGCAAAATGCTCATAAGACTGCGTTAAGCGTACCATCAAGTATCGAGGAGACTCAGGAACCCATGAGTAGAAAACAAGCAACACCAGGAATGGCAAGGCAGAAACTGCTACTAATATCCTGCACAAATCTCACCATTCAAATACACGTGAAGACCCCGCTTGTTGAACATTACCAACAGAACAGAAACAATATTCTTCGCAAGTTACGTCAGCAAAAGACAATCAAAACAATTAATAAGTGTCTAGTGATTACAACGCCGATTATCGATGAAAATGCACGAGGATTTTCCAACCTAATAGAGTACGAAGTGTATAAGAGATTATTTTACACACCTCCAACTATGATGGGGTAAAATAAGCCAAGCCAAGAGGGCTGATGATACAGATCCCACCTGACACATATCAATTTAAATATAGATGTAAATTATTATATAATTAAAATTAGCCCGGAAAGAGTAGCAAAAAATCTTGATGAAAATGTTGCTAGAAATGTATTGAACCATAATTAATGAACTAGACTCGATTAAGTAACACCCAAAAAATCCTTCGATCCCAAAAAACTGCCCTTACCAGACAAGGTGAGGACTTTATGAATAAGACAAGCATGAAATTAAAAACAAAACAAGGTCTTATCACCTACCGTCCACAAGATCTCCATGAAAACAAGCCAGAAGCCTCTAGAGGAAGCTGGCAAGAACTCCATGCACAAGGAGAATACTACCTGCATTACCGAAATTATATACAGTTGAGACCCGCAAGGGCGCACAATTATAAAATAATTCTCGAGCTCAAAGATTTGAACTTCATCTTGAAGTACTAACTAGGAGCAAAAACTGGATGTAATTCAAAACACTTTGATTGTAGCCTTACTGATGAACCGCCAAGCCCAAAACCAACGAGAGTCCGAGCCAGGAGAAGAGATAAATAAGTTGGAGACCAGGCACTGCAATTAAGCAACCGTTCGTTCAATGTAGCACAGATTTACGAGCTCACAGTTATTCAGATGACATTGAAAACTAGACATATCCTCTCAAGCTACCTTCAGTTTCCATTCCTGAAAAAGATGGTAGATCTACTCTTTTTTACTCACAGTAAGCACATTGCTGCCTAGAAGGAACTATAGCAAGTGAAAATCAACTAACTTTCGATGTAAAAGTTTTGAGCTCGGCAACAAGTTCATAACTAGATTCACACGTTTGTATATTGAACTTGCCTCAGTAAACCGAAGAAAAAAGTGAAAAGAGCTGTTGCCATAAAACCAAGTCTGCGTCCTTTCATGTCAGACACTAATCCCCAAACATATGCACCCCTGCACCGCAAGAAGCTCTGAGATCAATATCTTTAATTTTGAATGAGACTAAACAACTCATCGTATGATCAAATGGACAGCATCAGATCTTTAAAAATAAAAATAAATAAAGGAACGATGAGGAATAGGTAAAAACAAATGGCTTAGTGCTAAAACTTGCAACCAAGGCAAAAACAGAGATTAATGAAGTATATAAAAGATACTAGCATTTACACAAAGATTCCGGCAAACACTGCACTCGTAATGGCCCCCTCTTCGAATGATGACAGCCCCCATTCGCATTTTGCCTGCCACATTGTACTTAATACGCACATCCGATGCGGGGCCTCTATATAATTGGAGCAAAGCAATACAAACACAAACAAGAAGTACAGTCTAAATGCTAATCTCTGTGCATTGGCATACAGTTTTTGAGAATTCAAACCAGAAGACCATTTACCGAGGGACCAATGAAAGACAACAAAATCATCTCCGCAGCGTCTGCTAACCATGCAAGGCCGGTATACGTCAGAATCCCCAACTGAAACTTGCCGAATCCTGGAAAATAAATCCCCCGACGAACTCCCAGTCAAACACGGAAGCTGTTAGCTGCTTCTCAGGGAAAGGTTAGAGATGAGGGAGGACTACAATTATCACTTTCACAAGAGCACTACTGAAATGATCATGTACCTATGAAAGCAAAGACAGCGCTGTTTGTGTTACTAGAATACCGACAACTACAGAAGGCAAAAATAAATAAATTATTACCAATAGTCTCAATGGCTTCTTCGACTGTAATATTTTTGTGGTTAGCAACCTCATCGCTATGATAATTCGGTCCAGTATGCAAATCCTGTACCGCAGTGATTCAGTGGTTGTCATACTAAAGGACGCATGAAGAGGAAAAGAAAAAAAAAAGGAAAAAAAAGTTATTTCAGTGCCCCAGAAGGCAACATCCTGAGCGTGTTATCAGCATCTTAAGAATTTGATAGATGTATTATCCAAAATTAACCCTAATCTAGTTGGAGAAAATAGAATTTAAGCCCTCTACACTTTCAGCTTATGATAAAAATAAAAAATAAAAATAATATTATCAATTAATCGCCGTCTTTCCTTCTTTCAGCATAGGAAGCGAAAATCAGACACACTGAAAGAAGGCAGAAAATACCAGTAGATGCGAAGTCTCCGACACTGATTGGTCTGAAGTGACCGGCCTGGATACCCCATCGTATTCCATCTCTTCTACAAAGATCACACTTGAAGACAGGAGCAACAATCTTCTGCTGCAACTATATTCATGGAGAGCCTATCAAAATCATTTTCCCGCACACACAAACCTGTGGTTGAACTCCTCGTAATTACTATAGTAGAGCAGCGCTGTCATTCAAGAAAAAGAGTCCTCCCCTCCTGATCCCGGCAGAGCAATCAAACCCCCTGCATGCATCAGCATCAAAGCTTTACTGTCAAGACTTCATTCAACTCTTGCTACAATTTCTCATGAATTTACTTCATAACATATTGCAGAAGTAAAAAATAAAACAAAAAAAAACAAAAACAAAAACAAAAACAAACAAACAAAAGAAGAACAGAAACGAGGATCTATTTCGTGTAACCACAGCTCACCACCCCTTGAACCGCCCCGCATATCAGTCACCTGCTAGACTGACAGAGAGTTTCTACACCGAGAGTATCCAGGAGACACAGCACACAATTCCCACCCAGGCAATTCTGTCACCCACAAACTCGGCTAGTTTAAGCCAATTCCTGCTTAAGGACAATCTCTAAAGCAGCCAACAGATGGCTCACATCTTCACACTTGAGCTCTAAACACAAAATCTAGCGAGCAGGTGTATTCCCCGACGCCAAAGTCGTTCACTCCGTCAAACCAAACCCTACAAGAAAAACAATCTCAAGGCAAGTCCAAGGATTGCAAAATACCCCTGTTACTTTTTTTATACCCCTTCTGTGAACAACAATTTTGGCATACCTCCGGCGGCAGATCATATACTCGTCGCGTGACTATCAACTTCCAATACGCCACCCCCGCGAAATACATACATCAAACCAAAAACTGCAGATTGAAGTGTGCAACGATCCGCTGTGAAATCCATGGTAGATAGGAGAACACAACTCACCATGATTACAATTATTTATTGTTTCTGCTTCCAATTCCTTCGGGTACATTTTACAATTATTTATTGTCTCAGCTTCCAATTCCTTCGGGAAATTCCAAGTAATCCACTCTTTTTGATGGGTAATGCCAACTGAAGACGACGGCGGAGGGTCTTCCCTGTGGTGCCGAACGAGGTCGAAGAAGTCTAAGGCCAAAACTGCCAAATAGGATGGAGCGAGCAAATCACAGATCCTTGGAGCGAGTTGAGCTAAGAAGCATCGATTGAGCCGAGCGCGTGGGGGACTCGTGTATGTGTATAAGTGTGTGTAGTTTTCTTTGTTTTTGTTTGTTTGTTTGATATTTTTTTTTTTTGTTTTTGTTTGTCTGTTTGATATTTATTTTTTTTTGTTTTTATTGGGTTTAGTGAGGAAGGAAGCAGAAGTTTTACCCCAACAACGGTGGACACGTAAAGAGGACCTGCTTCGTGAAAAGCGCCCTCGACCTCGTCGACACGCCAACATGGTCCACGTTGAAGCCGCCAGATCGACGAATCGCCGTCGCCACCGTCCCCAAGTCGGTGGAGAGGCGAATCCATTGCCTCGGGAAGCGGAAGAAGCCCCCACACGACTGACCCAATTCCCCTCACTACCGTCATCATCATCTTCAACAAATGCGGCCTCGTCTTCTTTTATATATATATATATATATATATATATTTTTTTTTAGTTATTTATTTATTTATTGATATAAAAATTGCCCTATCAGCAGTAGTAATCTGCCTTCTCTATTTCTTTCTCTCTCTCGCTATATATATATAATATAAAAAAGCTTAGAGGATAAATTAGAGGAAACAAAAACCATTTCTCATTGGCTGCATATTTCATTATTTTTATCAAAAGTGAAGCAAAATAACTCAACTAGTGGTCAATTGGAGATCAAAATCTGCATGTTGTTGCAAATTGCCAAGAGTAGCACTATGAGATCACTAGAAGTAGAGCTAAGAAGCTCCCAATAAATAAATAAACTAACAATTACATGCCCTTGGCTACCTTTTTCATGGCCAATGATACTATAATGAATACATATATATATATATATATATATATATCAGCACAGCTGCAGCAATGGATTTCACATGCCCACTTTGCATTTTGGAGTAGAGTAAATGTGGAATGAATGAATGTGAGAGAGCCTATGAAGAAAAAGAAGAAGCATGAGAAAGTATGGACCAAATTGCCCTTTGTTTTTAATTTGATGCCCTTAGCATACGGATTTCTGAAAAGGATGAAGAAAACAAAAACAAGCAAACAAACAAACAAACAGAGTCGAAAACTGGAATACAACTTCCGGCAAAAGGTTTCAATTTTTTTCTATCAGATAGACACAGCATTCTTTCATTCTCCTCCACATCAGCTATCATCAGGATCTCTGAAGAGTGTCTGTTAAGGTGGAACACTCTCTTTGATTCAAGCACATCCGACTCATTTTCGAGCTTTGATACCAACAATTATGATGTATTGCCACCAATCGAATAAAACACGTTTTGTCGTTTGTAGCGTGTGCTGTCTTGGAAATACGTGGCACGGAATTCCAGTCAAGTCGTCAGTGAAAGTCTGCGATTCGACGCTGTAGCACACTGTAGCAGCCACTGGCCTAATCTAGAGGTAAACTTGAGGCATGGCTGAGGATCTACAGTTGTGTCTGGTGGCCTTGGTGATAAAAAAAGACGAAGGGGCGCAAGAGAAATCGGTAGACGTGAAGTCGCCTGAAGAGAAGTTGAATATTGTTGTGATACAGCTGGAGAGTGATGAATTACAATTCTTTATCAGGACATGGCTGCATTCAAAGCAAATTCCAAACAAGGAACGCATGTGAGACTTGCGGTCCACACTGAATATAGTTGGTAGCATTGTAATCAAAGTCTGTGTTACGTCACGATGTATTACAGCAATGGGTTAAACTACCTTGACAATCCTGTCAATTGGTCTTCTCCACACATCATCTAATCTATTCCGTCGATCAAAAATTCAGTGATACTGACCCCCTAATGGAGCGCGTTCACACCAAAGACGTATCACACAAGGTCATCTCCAGTTTCAATTACGATTGAAGCCAATGCTGGGCGATACATTGACGAGCATTTGTTGCGGGCAAGTAAAAAGATGTCCGATGAGCTTGACCACCTCTTGTCAGCCATTTGCCTCGCTCTCAAAACGCCAAGAGCAGCAACTTCACAGACACCAATGGCTAAAGAGGATTTACTGCACCAACCACCCGATAATAGAAGTTAATTCAGAAACACAAGTGCAAAGAAATGATTGGTTTTGAGATCAAAACCAATCAGACGTCGATTAGCTAGAAGTCGATTTGGGATGTTAAATATTTGTCACACAGACGTGCTTCAAATGTCAGCTTCTAAATAGTATCCAATAGAGCTTTGATAAATGATTATTTAGTCTTTACGAGTGAGCCAATGACCTAAGAACAGGGTCCAAAGCAATAAAGCATTCACAGATCATCTCTACATATTAGCCAAATCCTAATACACATGTTACAGAAAACTTTACCTTCCTCTAACCATGGCAGAAGTGACAATCCCGATTGGAACTCGCAAGCTACAAAATTCAGATCTGGGTCTAGGCAGAACGGTTTGGGAAGATGCATTTTGAGATTGGATAGAACCGTGAGATGGTGTTCCGCCTTCGCCTTTAAATATCTGTTTTCTCTTCTTCCTTTTATTACATGAAGATTGTTGGACCTGATGAAAACTAGGATCTTCAAAACCTTGCCATTTTTGTGGCCTTCACAAAAAGGTCACAAATTACGAATCGAACGGTCAGATTTCTGCATTAAATATGTAGAGAGCTGAGGTTCTTTGGAAAACAGTCAAATTAAATTTATCCCTGAGATCCGTAGATAGATTTCAATCTTAAACTAAACACAACTACAAATCATCCGAACCTCATAACTTTGAAAACAAAAACATAACTTACTCTAAAGAATGGTACGAGAGCAGTGAAACGTACGAGCTAAAATAAGAATCAACATCACTGGACAGGGGCAAATAAATCATGGCTTCTTCATCAAAGACTCCTTTCCGTGGAGCATGAATCAGGACTCTCACAAGGCAACCTTTTTTAATCAATTCTGCGCTGCCATCGCCAGCCAGTTGTAGGGTGGAGTGACCATTAGTATCAAGTGCTTCCCCGGATGATGATGTAAGCAACGGTAGGTGATGAAGGCTACAATCCTTTAAAGTCTGTTGTAAAGTCTCTTTTGTTCGTGCCACAAACATTGAAGGTTCTCCAGCCTTACCACCTCCTGATAAATCTCGTTCCCCAACCGCAGCTTCCACCTTCACAAACAATGCCAGAGATTTTTAAATGATGAGTTCGTATATGAACAACATGAATTGCATACAGTATACTAAAGAGACTTGCGATTGACTCAACCCTACACCCTCTACCTACATCAAACCAAGAAAGAATATGGTGCATCACTTACAAAGTCAACTTTCAAGTTTTTTGACTCCTCGATCTCCCCATGGGCTTCCAGTGATAGGACAGGCTTCTCTGCAGAGATAAATGCATCCAAAGTAGCACCTGAACTATCATTTCTGTCCTCTAACTCAATAGCCATTGGTGTGGGGACAACCTGTGAAGAACCCTCTTCATGAAACTCAACTGTATTATCAGGTTTCGATTCCTTATCTAGAACTTCCATTGGAACAGTACCAACTGTATCACTACTACAATAACCTACAGCATCTCCAGGCAAAATCTGATCTGTCAGACCCCTTGAAGGAAGGAAAACATGTGCGTCAATTCCAGGCTGGGTTGAATCTATCCTAGAATCATCGGCCGCTGTCGCACCGATTATCCCTGCATCAGGATCTGCCGCCTGGACATAATGAGAAGTGCTGCAAGTGTTAAGCTGCGGTACAGGTGCTGCAGGACCAGATGAAGAGAGTAAAACAAGATCATTGTTCGAAGTCTTGCTTGGGTCTGTTTCGGCAACTGCAGCCACTGCACCACAAGATATTCCTGTTTCAAACTCAGCCGTTAAAACATTCGGAACAGTGCTGCAATTCTCTGAACACAACTGAGGAGCTTCATTTAAAAACTTCCAGTCTGGCAGTTCACTCCTCCATATGCCTCTTTTGGAAGGAGGTCTTCGACTGTAGATCTCTTGATATTCTAAGGCCTTGCTAGCCATATGCTGGTCGTAGGAGTAACAGTCAGGGTAATCGTGAGGAAAAGATGCAAGCTTGGCCTGTCAAAACCAAGATGAGAAACAGGTTAACATCAAAAAGTAACAGGTTCATTTACACTAGCTTATGTAAAGACGACGTGCCTAAAGCTTATGTGCACATTAAGGTCAAAATTATAACTCTTCGACACTATAAGAGAACCAAAAAGACTAGTATTGGAACTTCGAAGTGGACACCCGATAGTTAGATCAAAACCATATTCTGCAAATAGGACATCTCCCTGACCAGATCGAAAAAAAAGAACTGAAAAGTTGGGACTTATAGAATTCGTACATCTGTATGGAGCCAATGTCGCTCTCGTAGTCCAATGGCACGACCACCCGCAAATACCAAAGGTACCCAAAAAGCTCGCACCCATGCTATGGGCATTATAAGCGAAAACCTGCGTAACAATAGTCGTGCATTGAGACTCCAGCACACATATGACTTTCACGGGATTTCAGGATGGATTAAAAGAACTCACATTCACGATGTTCAGTTTAAAAGGCTCTAGCACCGCCAAAGTGTGCCACAATCCTCCCCAAAAACTTGAACTTCAAACGCTCTCGAGTCAAAGAGCAGTCAGAAAACTTACCCACAAGCTGAAGGCATAGCATGCGCATGCTTTATAACCAGGATATGACACTTCGAATTTTCACCAGCAATGGTTGACTCTTGTTGTATATCTTCACTTGTATCATCAAGTCGGATGTAAGACAGCCGCCTCTTATGCCGTTTGATACTCAAATCTTTTTCGCTCAGAGGCTTAACCAAACCTTCCTGACCGTTCATGCTCAACCAATCCCACGCACCTCTATTACCTAAAAGATGCGTTTCTAGCGTGTTCACGACCACATGATCAAACGTGGAAGGGGATCCAGAATTTGGATTCGTGCTGTCAATGTTCTCTACTCTATCCTCATCAGAACCTGCATCTACGAGTATAGATGGCTGAAAAGCTATATCCTGGTCTGGACGATTCCTAGGATCCCACACTTCCATACCAACAACTGCACCCCCTGAACTTTCCAGACATCTCAAAGTGGACACGCCTGATGACGAATCATGAGAGCAAAGAGAACCAAGTTTATCGCACGGCTGTGATGTCTGTCTGCCAGAAAAAGTGCCAAGGTCAGAACTTAGGAATATATCGACGTCCACTGAAATCAATATCAGCTTCAAAATTTCTAATATGAACTCAGTTCATCACTGTTTGTTGAAACCGACGTGCGAAGGCACCTCAAAACAAATATGAAGAGGCATATTTGAAGTTCAAGTTTCATTTGCTGCCTAATCAAACTTAAAAGTGAGATAAAAGAAAAACAACGCCAAGCAGCTGACCTGACAACAGGATGAAGCACTTTATGCAAAATAGAATTTGCGTCACTTCCCAACAAATCCAATCGCCCCATTTGGCCTTTCCTCGACCGACATTGCAACTTATCTCTTCCACAAGCCCTCTGGTTTAGTACAAAACATAACAGATGTAAACCACGTGAGAGATGAAAACATGAATAGTGGCAGATGCAAACGATCAATTACCAATTCATCTTGATGTAAGCAAAAAAAAAAAAAAAAAAAAAAAAAAAAAAAAAAAAAAAAAAAAACTGAAAAACTGAAAAACTGAAAAATGAAAAAATAAAAAAAAATAAAAAATAAAATACATAACGCGAAAGCGCAACCAGAAATGATTAACACAACTACAAAAATGAACAAGTTAACTTATTCACTTGAACTATACTTGAACACCAATCCGCAAAAAAAGTCATGCAATTAAAGTTCCTCGATCTGTTGCACAGTATATCTAAACCCTGGTTAACATTCAACATAAAAAATAAATAAATAAAAGTGATGACGTGAAATCACGAACACAAGTCGAAGGTAACCCAAATAAACACTGAACCTGAACTACGGTACCTTACCGCGTCACGTAACCACTGGTATCAATCTATCAGGTAAAACTATTAGGCAAATCATGACAGCAACCCCTATCAGTTCAACTTCGACAAATTTGATTTTAGTTGCACTGCAATAGGCACACCACAGTTTGTTCCTTAACGTTCAAAAGAGGTAGAGATTAACAAGTCAGTGATGCTGAATAGGTACATCACCTGCTTTTGACACAAAAGCTGGAGACACGTCAAGGCCTCTTCAAAAGCAGCAGCGTGGACCCACAGCCACATCTGTCGCTCCTCCTCTGCTTTTGATTCAGGACGCCAAATATATGTAACTGGAGCAATCGCTCGACGAGAACACTCACCCATGTGATATAACTAGGAACCACCAAGAGAGCTATCAAATTCGTATACATTCAAAGTAATTTATATGGCTCTTCATCACTTAAGATTTTCAGTGCAAAGGTCTTCTCAAGAAGAAAATAATCACAAGAATGAGAATACATAAAATAAACTCATACGTCTTCGTCCAAAATTGAAGTAAAAATATGAAATAACACTCACCATTGCTCTCCCATAATTTGCACCATCATACACAGCTTGATCAGTAGGCGACATCAATTCGACAGATGTTGGAGCTGGCTCCAATGCCAACTGCAAAGCATCTATGATGCATTTCTGGATATTCACATTTTGATATAATAAGCACGCAAAAAAGCGGATCAACAGTTGTCTAGATAATTAGGTGTAGGAGCAGTGTGAAGTTCCTAACTCATCTAATCAGTCGAGAAAAGCATCACCTATCAAGCTATCAGATACGCGAAGACAACAATCCTCTTCGATCATCAACACCAGCCGTAATTCCAGTAAAACATTCTGAAGAGGCACTTCGGTATTAAAAATTCAACTCACCCCGCTGCCTTCTAGCTCAATGACAGAAAAAAAGCTGGCATCCTGCAGCACAGCAGCCTCGTTTGCCCACTTAATGACTGCCCGCGATCCTCGGCCTCTGCTCTTAAATCGAAAAAAAAAAAAAAAAAAAAAAAAAAAAAAAAAAAAAATCCAATCAAAACATACAAACCAAACGTGACCACGTTCGTTTGCACGAGAAACTAAGACGCCAGGATTTAGGATTTAAGCTTGTGATCCTTTCAAAACGTAAAAGTCAAACTTAAATCCAATTTTCATCCCAAAACACCTCAAAAAACTGAAAAAAATTGCAACATGGGCACACCAGTAAAATAAATCACCTTCCAGGGAGCCCCTCCGCAAGCCAGTGGCCCCAGATTTTTTTCATTGCGAAGCGTTTCGCATGCCAAACATGAGTAACCAGCCGCTGAGTCCCATCCCTGGAGCAACCACCTCCTCCTTTCTCATCTCCTTTCAGCTCAATTCTCCTCCTTGTACGCCTACATAGCAGTTCCTTGGCAGTCACTGAAATCTCCTTACTCCCAGCTTCTAACCCCTCACTCTCGGCATTGGGCACCGTCGCCGGCGCCTCATCCACAGCCCCAAACTTTCTCTTCTTTTCCTTCCTTTGCCAAAAGAACGACTTACGCCGATTGTGGGCTGTCGTCCGCCGCCGGAGACAACGAGGAATGACAGCTACCCGATCACTCCCATGTGTCTCCTTCTTCTCCTTCAAGACAGCATACAAAGCTTCCAATTCCGCTCCTCGGGCATAGGCAAACTTCTGCACATCGAGCATTCGAGGAGCCCCCGCATGACGACTCCCCCCTCCACCTTCCATCTCGGACTCCCAACAACTCGTCTTCACGTAAGCTATCTATGACTTAGATGAATATCAGCATTAAAAAGTCACAGCTTGCCACAGCAAACGACCATCAAATCTTGCTCAACCATAGGTGCACAATGTCTTCATTTAATACTTCGAGGCAGCATCCTCGTCCAGAACCGATCCCTAATACAAAAGATGAAACCAAGCTGAACAAACACCCTTGGACTCCAAGCTCCCGAAGGAATCACAATTACGACTCACGACCTCGAAATGCAGCAGTTGTCACAACAACCACTAGCGTGCTGAATTGTACGAAACAACAAACAAACCAGAGTCCGAGGGTAATCCGCTTGCGAGCAAAATCAGCTTCCATAACAGTCAACGACCCCTAAACCCTAATAAAAACAACCACGGTGTCAGGAATCCTCAGAGCAATCCAATCCAACAAAACAATACATAATAACGACACCACCGATTCTAACAAAAACTAAGTACAGTGCGAGAGACGCACACAACTCGCATTACTGATGAGCACTGCAAGGACATGGGCAGCTCTTATTTTCAATCGAGATCAAATCTAGTCATCAACAACCAACGAGCTCAAATTCCTCAGTTAAAAATAAATAAAAATAAATAAATAAATAAATAAATAAATAAAAGACAAACCTGAGAAACGTCGGCGTGCTGCAAGCACAGCTCCAGACAACCTCCTCAGCCCTAAACCCTAAACCCTGGAAAGCATAGTTCAAAGGCATGAAATCCAACACACTTGTCCATGCGATGATGATGGCGGTGATGATGCATCGGCGGAGATTGGGGGGGTGCGGAGAAGCGGATGCTCCGTCGGCACGCGATGGATCGGGCGACGGCTCTGACGAACACACGCGAGCGAGAGAGCATTGACGTCGGCGACACCGCCAACAGCAATTAGCTTTCGCGCAGTGGAGCCGAATCTAAAACAGAGCCACGCCCAGAAATGTACCTTTTTTTAGATTCTCATACATCTATGATTCATTCGACGATCTTGAGGATTCTATAGAAGTCTTCAAATATCTTCATGTCACTTGGTGCTCTGTTCATAAAAGTAAAAGAGAGACAAAGGGACATAATTTTTGGATGGATTTAATTTTAGTATGGATGGATGTTTGAGAAATAGATTTTGTGGGAAAAATGGTTTTTATTGTTTTTTACGAGTTAAATCACTCCTTCATCAAACAAGAAGTTGAAAAATCATGAACTAAATAAAATAAATGCAAGTCTTAACATGTATGGAAAAATTGCCTTGAAAAATAAAACACAATTTCATTTTGGTGTATAAACATGAGATTAAGATGTATTTAATTATTTCCATTGAAGAATTCACATTATTTTAATTTCTATCATTTTTGCTAAAAAAATTGAGTTTATTATTCTTGTATTTTTGCAAAAAGAAAAAAAAAATGAAGCTCTATATGTATGTATGTATGCATATATATATATATATATATATATGTATGTATGCATATATATATATATATGTATGTATGTATATATGTATGTATGTATGTATGTATGCATATATATATATATATATATATATATAGAGAGAGAGAGAGAGAGAGAGAGAGAGAGAATTCATGCTACTAAGGACACATTCTTACAAATTTAAGATTTGTATGTATCAGTACTAATAATTTGCAACTTTAAATTACTAATAATTTAAAGTTGTAAATTACAAAAAAACTTCTTAAAGTGAGGAGTTTGATTGATAGACAAATTAGCAAGCGTACTGGTACTTGTGTGATAGTATATTGGCCCATCAATTTGTTTATAAGTCTATGTATATATATATATATATATATATATATATAATTGATTGATTGATTGAAAAAGTATGATGTGATCTAAAACAATGTTAATAGGATTTAGTTTACAATTATATGATAAGTATGAACTTGTGTGCAATTTGTAAAAATACAACTAAAATAAATTAACTCAAACTTGACAAGCTTGTCATACATCTCCAAAATGTAAATACTTGGCAAAAGCCTTTGTTGACCTCTATAGCTCTATCATAACAACAAAACACAAAAGTTCAATGATATGATTTGAAAAAAGAATGTAAGAATATATTTTAATGTATTTTTTCAAAATAATACTAATTAATGCATGATAATCCAATTAAAAGTGTTGATCTTTCAATCTTTTGATTAACTATTTAAATAATATAAATTTGAAGCAAGTAAATATTTAACTACGATTGTGTCATATTAAAAGTATATAAAACATATGTTTATCTATAAATTCTTCAAATATATTTATTTTGAAAGATTTTCATATTTGAAAGAGAATAAATTTGAATTTCAAAAATATTAGAATTATTCACTTAACATAAATTCAAGTATATTTAAAAAAATATTGCATATATTTAATAATCAAAGAGGTAATTTCTTTTTCTTGTGATTAAAAATATGCTAAAAAATTAATACTTTAACATTATATTGTTGTGCTTCTCATTCTCATAGAGAAGAGAAGAAGTGAAAAAAGACTTCAAAGAAAAAACAAACGAAAAAAAACAAATAAAAATATGTGAGGAATGAACTTGAGACCAATATATATACATATAAATAGATCTCAAAGTTTGTTAGTTCGTTCTTGTACTTATTATATACACATTATCATATGACATGATTTTATATTTAGAAATATACTAGACACCTATTTATAGAGAATTTAGCTTTAATTTATTGATTAAGCTCCAATAAATAAGTTATTTTTATTATATAAGACAAATAAACATAGCAATATTGAAAGATATTCTATTAGTAAAAACCTTTTATGTTAAGAAGGCTTGTATACAATGCTTGATAAAAGTCCTTAGAAATGCCCTAACGTCCTTTGTTATATCAAATCATCTCTTACTATTTGCTAATACATTATATTTCTAATAAACTAAAAAAAAAAACAAAAACCATAATTTTCTTATAAAAATCTATCTTTATATCATAATTTTGTCATAGCTCTATTTCACCATCTTTAACATATATATAAATTCTTGGCTCCCAAAAATCCCTTTATTTTGCAAAAATATCGAAATTATAGCAAAGCCCTTTCAAAATATTTTTCTCTCATAAAAGATTTTTTTTCTCCAAAATTTAGAATATCATACCTCTTGATCCAACTATTTAGTTTTTCTCAAATTTATAGATAATGTTGTATTTATCCTTGAGCTTTATCACAAAAAAAATAAACTATAAATCTACTACAAATTGTTTGGCATCTTAGAAACCCTAATATGTGCTCTAAATCCTAATTTATAAACATCTAAATATTATTTGTTTTATATTTCAAAATTTCAAAAATTAAATACCATAAAATTTGGTATATAGTTTTATAACATAGTAATACACATTAGTGGAAAATTTTAGCCAAAGATTTATCCAAATACCTAAGACATGGCTAGAACTGAATCCTTGTCATAGACATACATATTGATTTTGATAATTATTTAAATAATAAGAATATGTAGAAGTAAATCAAAGTAGATAAATATGATAACATCTTGTAGAAAGCTTCCTAAAAGCTTCATAGATGTTGCTTTGCTTTTGTACATGTCTATAGGTGATTTGTAGGTTGAAAACTTGGCCAACAAGGAAGCTACGTCTTAACATGTTAGTCTCTTGTAGTAGAAGTTGAACATATGGCGTACACCTAAGAAACTTGGATTGTAAATTAGACATGTGTCTTGCAAATTGGACATGTATTACAAGTCTTATAGCATGTCACCACGTATTCCTTATTTAAGTAGTATATATAGAGACAAGAGCAAAGCCTTCCTCACTCTTGTCAATTCCTTTCTTTGTTTTTAGTCTACTTTCAAGAGTCTTATGTTTTCTAGTCTTTGGCAATAGCCATTCCAGTTCTTTCTTGAATATACATATCTTCTTATATTTTGTCACTTTCCTTTTGGCACAGATTCCATGACTTTATGCATCTTCTTCAAGTTTGTGTCCTTGATACATTGACAAGAGTACACATATAATATCAGAGCTTTGTCTTTTTTTGATTTAGAGTGGATTATCCCTTTCTCTTAATAAGACATAAGCATATTAGAAGTTGTGGATTACCTTCTTCTAAAGTGATCTTATTTCTAGAATCATTATTTTTTACTTGATTCTTGAGTATTGTATTTTAAGAGAATAGACACCTTTCTTTTTATTGTGCTAGTAGAGCAGAGCTTGCTGAAATGAAGAATGCAATGGCTCAAATGTAAGAGCAAATGAAAAAATTGATGCTTGCAATGCATCAACTCACTCTATCATTATAAGGAGCAATGAGATTATCAAGCAATGAAGATATAGAGATGATTGAAGTTGCTTCTACATTTACACGAACCCATATTATTGTTCGTACGATGGAACATCATTCAAGTTTTAAGGACCAAAAATTAGATTGCCTAAGAAGTTTGATGACATAAGCTCTAAGTTTTGAAGATTCATCAATCAAGTACAACTGGTAATTGAACTACAAACTCAAAGTTATCCAACTCAAAGATCTTAAGTTAGGTTTATTGGAACATTACTTTATATATCTACTTTATCATAGTTTTCATCATTTTTTGAACGACATGATCCAATATTGAATAATTTGGAAGTATTCTTAGCACAATTTTGATCTATGTATAGAGAACATGATGTAATCTATATTCCAACTAATAAGATTTGTATCTTGCAACAAGGCAATTAATCAATGATATTATATGCTTTATAATTTTGACAATAAGCGACAGATATTAAGTGAAATGATGCAGCATTCATCAGCTAATTTTTTTATGAATTATAATATGAAGTAAAGAAATTGATGTTAAATTATCTGATCCTCACATATTTAGTCAAATAATTGACTTTACTATGAAATATGACAATCGACTTTTTGAATTTCAATTTGAGAATTACGTAAGAGAACCTCAATGTTATTACAATTCATTGACAACATCAATGACTACTCAATCTAAGCATTTGAAAGTAAAAGTTATGTAAATTGATACAATACATTTTAAACCTCTTACCGAACGAGAAAAGACTCATCGTCGTCAAAAATGACTATGTTTATATTGTAGAGAAGCTAAGCACACTACTCAATATTGTCCAAAGAAACGATACAACTACAAAATGAAGATTACTACTGTTAAAGATGAAAACATGTCAGAAAACGAATTTATCCAACTACAATAGGGATTGCGCAACTAGAATCTTGTACAATTCCTAATAAAGGTCCTATTCTCTCTTCAAAACCCTTTCTTTGTTTTACAATAGATGTGCGTTTAGGATCTAATAACCACAAAGCCTTTGCCTTAATAAATTCAGGAGCCTCTACTTGTTTTTTCTATGAAGAATTTGTTAAAATTCATAATATACAATTAGTACATAAAACTAAATCTATACATGTAGAAGTCATAGATGATTGTTTATTATCTTTTGGAGATGCTACAAATGAAACACTTTTTATAGGTATAGTAATTAATGATCATAATAATCATGTAATTTTTAAAATAATTAGATCTCCCTCTAATCTAGTCATTTTAGGTTTATTGTGGCTAGAAAAGTATAATCTTGTGATAGATTGGATTTCTTGTAAATTTGACTTTTTATCAAACGTTATTAAGAATTTTTCTAATCCAATAAAAAGCCATGAGTCTAATATAGTCAAATTTGTATTTGTTGGTGTAAAAGCTTTTTTGCATGCTGCAAAAGAAGGATCGTCTTTTGTTATTTATGTCACACCCAATTTAAATAATGGAAAGATTTCAAGTAAAATTCCAAGTCAATATCAAGATTTTCAAGATATTTTTGAGAAGAAGAATGCAGATATTCTCCCAAAGCATCATCTATATATTACTCAATCGATCTTAAAGAAAGAACTCAGTTGCCATTTGGTCCAATCTGTG